CGGACGAGAAACTTTTCTCATAAAAAGTGTTGATTTACAAAATTTGTTATGTAAACGACCGCCCCACCCCCACCCCTGGATCCGCCCCTGCTATATTTACGGGCTGGAATAGCAGGAAACAACGCGTTTGACTACCGCGCGTCCGTATGCAAACGGGATTTTTTTTTTTTTTTTTTTTTCGGGCATTACTGTTCCGCCCCCATCATTCATCGGACCCGTGCGCCTATGCACCCATGTCCATTGTATAGTTACAAAGAATAACAACTCTTTTGGTCTGTATTAAATGAGATGAAATGGGGTTTAACGTCCTACACTGTGCCATGCACTGTGCTATGAGGCAAATTTTGTCCGAACAGCGGCGCTACGGCCTATTCCTATATAGAATCCCAACTGCCGAGGGATCTTTAACGTGGCTTCGTGCTTTCATCCCATCCGAACGACCCTCCAGCCTTCACCACTGACAAGGAGAAACCACGCCAGAATTGGTCTGCATTAAGTAACTGAACATATAAACACATGGTGCAATTTTATGGTGACTATGCGACGTTTCGACCGCTGATGATGATTAATAACAATATTTAAAAAAAAAATTTCTTTAAGACGTCGTCCAATAATATGGCTGCAGTAACCATAACATGACCCATTTCTCCCTTATTATTTGCTACAGAGTCATGATTTAGTGTATATGCCCTTAATGGGCATATTAAATAACATGATATAATAGATTTAGCCATAAATCTAAAATGCCGTCCAAGATGACCCCGCATTAGTAAAATTTCTGTATACCTTCTTATTCATGTTACTCTAAATTCATGATTTTGGTGCTTATTCGCGCAGTGTTTCGTTTGATTAGAGCTAATCCAACTTAACACTGCTATAATGGAAGCAAATTCCTGTTCCAAATTATGGCTGGCCAATAGTCCGATTAACAACCAATAGCTATCTGCGTAACAATATCATTACTTTAAACAGAGCTCCAAATTGGACCAAATAAGTTTACATAACGTTACGTCATGACTCACGATTTTATTACGCCCAATTAACCAGTGCATAGCAGAATATTGCAGAAAAAATAATTGCGTGACAAACGAGGCTATCAAAACGGATACCATGTAAACAATACTGTTTGGAGACAAACAATACTTTCATTTTTTTTTTTAATACCTTAAATCACTGTCAAAAGTTTTAGGGAAGACCCCAGATTAAACGAAGGGCTGCCATGTTGCTGCTCTTGGGATAGATTTGATTGAACGGGGAGAATAGACACACTCCCTCAAAAGCTCTAGTATCAGAAGCCAATCCAGCAATGGCCAGAGAGGGATTTCTCGGGCCATTGCTTCAGAAATATACTTATTCATAGGTTTAAGGGATCACTCAAAACAATAAAGCTATTAGTAATAATATGATGTAATTGGTTCACGTTTTATAGCGGTGTCAATCCTCATGTTTTAGGAATAAATAAATTATCAGGACAATTAAGAATTAACTGCTCCGACCAAAACAAGAATAACTGCTTGATGCAGTAGGCGTATTTATGCACAAAAACACTGGTTGGTTTACATTTCCTCTTGGCAGGCCATACGGAATTTGCCCCAGATTGGTACTTCGGGTTGACATGGCGTGATCTTTAGAGGTGTAAGCATGGTCTCAATTCACACCTTTTATGGTGGACCATTTGATGTATTTCTGGACATGTTTCTCGTTGTCCCTGGTAATATCTGATACGAGTTATCACATGTCCAGTGACATGGTCCATACGCTGAAGTGCAAGGCAGATTGTATCCTCTACGGTAAAGCTATTTTCTCAAATCTATAAAAAAAAACCTGACAGTCTGCAGTTTTAGTGCCAAAAGTATCGTCATATGCCACAAGCATTTCATTTTCTTTTTACAGTAGCTGGTTCTGCTAGTCTCGTCCCTTTCCATCTTCTATTGTAACGTATACTACCAAGAGTAATTTCCTTAGAAAGGCACACCTTGCGATTGTCATAATACATTACTTGGTCTATGACTCATCCAACCAGAGGCGTAGCCGTGAAATATATATTGAGTGGGAGGGGGGGGGGCCGCAAATGAAATTTTATAAAATGTTTACAGTCTATGACGCCGGAGGCACGACGCTGCGCAGCAGCCGATGTAGCACCATAGGGAGGGTGTCGGAGGGTCACCCCCATAAATTTTTTTAAAGTTTCAGTCTTCTGTAAACACTGTTTTGGCATATTTTACGGCGTTAAACTAAAACATCACACCAATACAATGTTTATCATGTTTAAGTCAGGGGGTGCCGTATTCATATTTTTTTCATGACTTTTACATATTGAATGTTATGCTTGAGTTATGAACAACATGACAAAGAGAGTTTAGTTGGGGAATTTTTATGAGGAGGATCCAAATGAAACAAAACTTGATCACATAACTTTAGTTTATGAGGATGCATATTTGACAATCACCTTGTTTACTACAATACTATATACATATACACATTGACATATACAAGAAAGTTGTATAGATATTTAAAGAATTTTGTACATTTTGTGTATTATAAATGGATTTCAAAAAGTAAACATAAGTGTCTGTGTTTTAATTTGTACATTGTTTTATACAGATAGAATCTTAACTAATCCTAATAAGTGTTGTAAATAAATAGGAGTTAGGTGTAAATTTTTTTGGGGGGGTCCAAGTATATTCAGACCCCCCCCCCCCCATGTATTCAACACGCGTCAAAGTTGGACATTCTCCCTCAAAGTAGTATGGAAGCCTATAACTACCATTCATAATTTCTACTTTTCGCCTCTTCAGAACACGAAAGTCGAGTTGATTTTGGCTTGTATACCGTCTTGTCGCCTCACATTTTGTCGTAACTTCTACTTTTCGACTTTCGTGTTCTGAAGAGGCGAAAAGTAGAAATTATGAATGGTAGTTATAGGCTTCCATAAAGTAGAGTTATTTTGTCCCAGAAAATGTATGGGGCAGACCGCCAGACGTATAAACCGACAGTGGACAAACGTGGTACTTTTCTGCTTTGGCAGAGGCGGGCGTGCTGGGACCTACGAAAGGGGGTGGGCAGACCAGACTTAGGGCACCCTTGAAGTAGCCTATATCTGAGCTATGGTATACCATACATGGACACTTAGTTAAGCGATTATGACTTAAAAATCCTAAAGATCTGAACATGAACATATTTAGCTGCAATCAAGAACCAAACGATCTGTGAGTAAAGAAAAACAAGTATCAAAAGGGACGGGTATTCCATTCAAAGTTCCTTTCGAATCTGTTTGCTAATGACGCAATCTGATTAATATACAGATTCCGTTTCGTTTTATATATATATATATATATATATATATATATATATATATACTTTTGATGGCCTCTACTACATGAAGGTCTTGCCGGTTTTAGTGGAAGGTCGCGTCAGAGATCATACGAACGGCTTTTGGTTAGATTAACCAATCAGCGTTGATGTTTCTAGTGGGTTACCCACAGTTCCGTGCACCTCACGCCAAAACCTCGCCGTAACAGACCGTTTCGTTGGTTAATCCCTCACAGCATCCAGAACGCGGGTTATATAACAACTCTTCCTGATCCTAGTGTAGTAAAGGTAAGTAAAACGAAATTTTGAACTATAAAAAACGAAACGAAATAGGATCGGTGTTTTAATCAGATTGCTAATGACGTGGCCATCTTAGAATTGACAATGACACTTATGGTGGCCATATTAGATTTGACAATGACGTCTTATGTTTTAACAGTTCTACTATGCTCATCTGCAAGGTTGTGAGACTGTATATAGGCTGGTGGCTATTTGGCGACCATATTGGATTTCACGATGACATCTCAGGCTTTTCACCTGGGGTTTGCATTTAATGGATTACTTGATCCCTCAATCCTAGATAAAGACATTATGGTCATTTATATTGAATGGTGGCCATCTTGGAGGCCATTTAAAATTTCACCCTTCCTCTCTATGAATCAGAATTACCGCCCATGTTTTTGTTTTAATTTTTAGTCCCAAATTGAGGGGATATACAAATAAACACAAGACTTCTCTTAGCTGATCCACTATAACGCAAAATTGATAAGGAATTAGGATGCTCACTGAGACAGTTTCTATAGGTTGGTGGCGGCCATCTTGGATTTCATAATGACGTGTGTTTTTCATCTAGCGGGTGGTTGTAAAATGGGTTGCTTTATCCCTAAAACCTAGGTATAGACACCAAATGTGTTCCCATGAATAGTGAGGGCGTTAAGGTCAGTTATAAGGAATGGCGGCCATCTTGGAAGCCATTTTGAATTTCACGTTATTGCGATGTCTTAGAGTAAAATTAGTAGGATTTTGTAAATCTGTGGTAGCACCATGACTTGCTGGATTTAGAGGTCAATATCCACACGTTTTTTAGGAATTAGTACTCTCGAAAATGATGACAAGGCAAAAATTCAAAATGGCGCCAAAAGTTTCCCCATGGGATAAACTTCATAAAGATGGGTAAGTCCATGGAAGTTTAGACTGGACTAATAGATCATAAAAAAAAACCCTGAGACACACACACACACGCACACTTAATTCCTTCTAACATGCTCTAATTAAAGTCTAATACCACGCGCTATAATACTATATAATAATAGCCTATATCTATCAACCATTTCCAGTTTCTTTTGTTTATTGCATTTATTATGAGATGTATTTTGACTTGACAATGAGTGATGACAGTCTGGGCAATATCAACAACTCGCGTCACAAAAACTCGTCATAACAATAACATACCACGAAGCACGATGCATTGGACCCTTGGGAAACTGATTGCATACCGATATCACCCGTGATATCGCAGACGGATTTTGTGTGAAATAGCTTTATATAATGTCAGCTTCCACCGAACTGATATCGCAGACGGATTTTCGAGTCAGCTATTTTTTTATCGAAGGATTATTCTAAATATAGTAACTTGTTCGCAATATCCTGTTTTCACACCAATCAAATTTCATTTCCGGTATGTTTCCCGCGAAGTTGTTGTCAGAGGAGTTTTGTCACTCTAATGTTGTTTTACCGCTAAAATTGTTATAAGTTAATAATACTGGACAATTTTAAGATAAGAAAAGCTCAGTTGTATAGCAACATATTTATTCCAATCAGATGTTTGTGTCAAGGTAATATATTTAGAATCAAGAAACAGCTTTTTTCACGTATAATCATATAATGTTCTGATAAATGAAAGCTCACGCTGGATGTGCGCGCAATAAATTTATTAATTATAATTATCACCCCATTCAGTCTGATCGGTCTTTTGCAAGTTCCAGTTGGTTTATTAGTCTTATTTTCCTTTGTCAAATGACAATTAGAAGATATTGAAACTGAACATAGATTGTGGTTATAGATGCTCAGGCAGTATAGGCCTACCTTTTCTTTCAGACTTTCTGAGAATGTAGCCTACCATACCATGTAACCATGCAAAAGAAATGCATGTATTATGTATTTAAAAGTGACTATCTAGAGTCTGAAGTGAAAAGAAATAAGAATCGTAAGCAGAGGTGGGAACAAGGCTTGCAGGACCTTAAAGTGCGAGTCGAGTCCAAACCATGTCATCTCAAGTCCTACAGTCCTCTTCAAGTTGCCAAATAATATTATATTGAATAATCAAATGTGTCAGCAATTCATTTTGCAAATTGCAAGACCAGCAAGGCCATGACGAAGAAAGTCCATAGCTCTTTGTAGTCACGAGTTGTCATGACTGCAGAGCCGAGTCAATGTGGCTAAAAACGAACTCGCAGGACTTCAAGCTGAACTCCGATTCCAAAACTACAGCAAACTGTCCACATCCGGTTAGCCAGTGAGCTACAATTACCTCATGACTGATCGAAGTTCTTTCACTATCACTAATATCAGCTAACAATATTATTGCTACACAATTATGTCTGATCAGGTACATATTATTTTACTAAATTAGATGAAATAAGCCATGTTTCACCATGTTTCTTCTACAAATTGAAAACAAGTATGGTGGTCAGTTAGGGTGTTACCTTTTTTTTTTTTAATTTAATTATTTCTGTATTTTTGTAATCAGAGTTCAGCTTTAACACTTTAAGCTTTGTTGTTGCTATGAAATTTATAAACAAATAAAACTAAATTTCAACAAAAACTTTGGTTTAGACTTTAGTGTGGATTAATTAGGAGACAAGTCACAGGTTATGACTCACAAATAATGGGTTTGACATGCAGTGTATGGTATTGAAATTAATGGAACTAAATCACTAATATTTGGGATCCAGAAATTGACACACTTTTGTTATCATTTGACTAAAAAAAACTTGCTCAAAAGAACTGCTTAGATTAGAACAATCCACTATTGTGGCTGTAGTAAAACAGAAGACATCAGTAGTGAAACCATTTCTAGGTCAATCACAACTATATATTATGATAGAGGAGTTGTGCCCCTTTCATAAATGTTGAATTTGATGTTGTGACGGTAAATCATGCATGTTAAATATTTTCTCGCGCTAGAATTTGAACAAGAAACTTGATTCTCAAATGGAATTTGATTACTGAAATGTAATACCACTTATCATACCATATTCTCTGTTGTACAGAGAAGCGTGAAGTTGAATTTAAACCCGATTGTACTTCATATTTAACTTTGGAACTACCAATGCCTTATTTTGTTATGGAACAGAATACAGAACGGTAATACTGTTAAAAGGGCTTTTTTGACAACCTTACATTTGACACTTGTATGTTTCATCCCGCTAATAATAATATACCCGAGAAAGGTCACTTACCTTTAATTTACTACGTCACAATTACATCCATTAGAATAAAATAAAATACTCAATGTTTCAATCTTTCATTCTCTTCATGTGGACAGTGTGTTTGTGACCAGAATCAGGGGAATCAATAAGACAAATTGAAGATGCTTGATGGAAATGGTTTAAATGTTGAAGCAAGCCAAGTAGCACATCAGATTGAAAACTATCCCCTTTGTTTTCGGCTTGATTATCCATTGACCAATATGGTCATTTGTGATCATTATAAAAGTCTTAATTCCCATAGTGTAATGACTAGTGGTGATGATTCAATGTTGAAAATTTCTCTATTTATGCTTTAACACTGAATGTCTATAGGCCTATGCTCTGGAGGAATAAGGATAAAGCCTTGGGTTATACTGGTTACTGATCTGAATACAATCTATCATTCTTGCCTATTTCAGAATTTCTGGATGATTGAGATCAATATTCGTCTGTGAAAAGCCGGGAAAGGTCAAAATGGTTGTCACAGGAAATGATGTTAAACTTCCAGCACTGCTTAAGACATTGGAGTCTGCAACAATAGGTATTGAGGAAAAAGTGGAAGCCTACAAGATATTTTCAGAGTAAGTACATGTATGTTAGCTAAAATGCTTATCTTATAAAACCGGTACAATGTGCAAAACTGGCCTTAGAATTAGATTAATTTGATGTTTTTGGAGTATAAAATGAAAATTTGTCAGCAACCTTTATAGACTGCATGAACAAAATAGCTGCTGGGCCTGGGGGCGTACACATGTATGTTTGTTTGGTTGCCTGGCAAGCTAACTTTTGCCATTTCAAAGATGTATTGACCAATAAGATGAGTAATGGCTTTCAAATAGGCATGTCAAAATATAGCCATAAAATTCAAAACATCCAGAAATGAAATAAAATGTTTGTTCATATTTTTTGCATCATCGTGTATGAGCACAAATTTTCATATTACATTTTGTGTTGTTAAATACAGAGCTGGACAATATTTCTTCATCAGATTCACTTGAAGAAAGTTAGATTTTTAGACCTCAATCTTCTGTCAAATCGTTATGGTGACCAAGATACTGAGATTCTTACATATTTATAAACCTGAAAGGAAATTCTCACTTTCTTCATAATGAATCAAGAAACATATTAACAGAATATTTTTTTTTTCTTAGTCAGTTACAGGAAGATGAATTAAGTTTTTTTGATCTGGATATAACATATTATATAGAACCTATTGTATCTGTTCTACATCAAGATATTCTACATCACTCTGAATCAGTTCAACAAGGGGCATTGCAAGTTCTTGGTTTTTGTCTTCATGACTTGGAACTTGTTAGGTGAGTTATTAATTTTATGTTCAAATTTGACAATGTTATGTTTTAGATGGTCGGATTTTGTCTCTAATCATGCATGGTCTTAGTCTCTAGTTAGGAGTTACACGATTTGTTTTAAAGTATCTTCTTGTTATTTGATGGATATTCATTAATCCCTTGCAGACTACAATATTGTGAAATTTGGATAGATCTAAAAAAAAAACTTATCAGTCTGTATATGGTTCATTTCTATTCAGTGTTTACAAAGATATGCAGATGATATAGCGTGTACAATTATTTCATGCTGGGTAGAGTATCGAATATTGATAATAATTATGTCCTATTCTTATCACAGCTACCTTAAAAACAACTCTGTGTAGCAAATAACTTTTTATTTTAATTTTTCTACTCTTAGATTACTTCCAGTAGAAAGTCAAAAAAAACTAGTGGGTAGTTTGTGTAAATGTTTAAAGAATGCTGAAGACAAACCTACATGCACACGAGGATTGTGGGTTTTATCTAAACAAAATATTCAACCAGATTTGATAGCGGGAGAGGTAAAGTTCTGTTTTCACCCTTTGTTCACTATATAGCCATTCCATATTATGCCCTAGACACCGACCAGTTTCAAAGTATCACAAAATATATGTTGAAGTTTCCATCTTTATATTTTGAACTGAGCAATTTATCTGTTACAGATGTTGAGTTAGCCTAGTCTTACTGAATAAATGAGGAAGCCATTTAAGTGTGCCTCATTTACATGATTGAAGTTATCTTTTGATTTAGGATCTTGCCAGTATTCTGCTTGATGCACAAAAGGACAACTATTCTGGAAATGTTTGCAAATAATTTATATATATTGTTTACATCAGTCAAACGAAGAGGTCTATTTAATTTCAACAATTTCCATTAATTACTTCTAGAGTTATGGTCCTTGTTTCACTTTGTTGAACCTTGTGAACACTCTAGTAACCAAAGTAATCATCTTGTCTATATTGAATTTAAATTTATCGTTTAAATTAGTAAAACGAAGAAGTCCTATTGAATTTGAGAAATTTCCATTCTATAGCTTCTTAGAGTTGTTTCGACCAAAGTTATCTGATCTGTATGAAATTTATATACATTATTTAAATCACTAAATAAAGACGCCTATTAAATTTCAACTATTTCTGTGTATTACTTCTAGAATTATGGCCCGTGTTTAACTTTGTTGAACCTTGTGTACACTCTTGACAAAATTTATCATCCAATGTGTATGAAATAATACATGTTTGAGATTAGTAAAACAAATTTGAGAAATTTCTGTTAATAACCATAACAGTTATGGGCCTTGTTTCACTTTGTTGAACCTTACTGAACATTTGATTTTTATGAAATCGATATCATTGTCTTGTAAATGCTCCCATTACCTACAACCCTTTTTGACTGTTCGGACGATTTAGCTGCTGTGGCTGTATGTTTCGTTGCCTGATAACATAATGTCTAGTATCACACATTGTTTAGCTGGATAACATAATGTCTAGTATTATTCATTGTTGATTTGAGCTGGGTAACATAATGTCCAATTTTATACAATCGTTATCGTGTTTATTTTGGGGAGATAACATAATGTCTATATAACACATAGTTTATTTATTTCAGCTTGATAACATAATGTCCAGTATAACACATTGTTTAATGAAGTGGAAAGGCCAAGCGCAAACTGTTGAATATGAAGCTGTAAATGCTATAGCTAGGTAAAATATTATTAATGTCAACAGTACTGTTTTCAAATGGTATATAATTATTTGTGCATATTTTAACGTTCAAATCTAGACAGGTGACTGTCAAAAATGGAACTAAGTAGGCACATGACTGGGATAATATTCATGACATGTGTGACTTCAGTCATGAAATGTAAGATTGTCCATGTCATTGATATGTAACATTTAGTCACGCGAATTCAATGATGTACATAATATTAATTCGTGTAACAAAATTTATTTGAACACAGCCATAACAGGTTTTAGTCGGATTGAGAATACTTTGTATATGATTTCAGATTAAATGTATTGGTTAACAAAGAAATGAGAGAAAAAACAAAATGGGAAAAAATCTGTTTGGGTCTGTTGACTCATCCAGCTGCCAAAGTTCGAGAAAAAGCTCTTACGACTTTAGAAAAAGGCTGTGAAACTGCTGTTAATAAAAACACAGTTAAAGAAATAATACCAGAATTTAAATCAGTTAGTTTAATTATTTTTTATATAGCTTATACCACTATCTGTTAACAAATTTGGACAACCAATTCCGTTGGGTCACTGCGTGTTACCAAATTTGACAGAAAGTAACCTCCCTGAATTCTAATATTGACTTACGATACCTCAAAGCCCGATCAGTTATCTTATTTATGTTGGCTGGAGCCACAGTGGGTAAGATGCTGGCTAGCTAGCCTGGAGGTCAGGTGTTCTATCCCCGCATTGGCCAAGAAAGTTCATCAGGATTTTCCGACATGGTTTCCCCCTTGTCAGTGGTGCAAGGGACCGCCTGACAAGGACAGCTGTCTAGTCTTTCGGATGTGGCGAAAAAACGAGGTCCCGTGTCTGCATTGGCATGCACGTAAAAGATCCCTTGGCGATTGGAATTTGATATGAGTAGGCTATAGTGCCGCTGCCCAGGCAAAATTTGCCTCCTAGTAGTCATAGCACATTGCATGGTGTATGCCCATCTTGATTAGCCCTGTATAGAAGCAGAACAGTAAGATGTTAAACCTCATTTCATTTATTTCTGGTGGGAATGTTATATGCCATGCCATGTTTTCCATTTAAACTTTTGATCAGAATTTTTCTCACTAATACACTCTTAATAAACTTATACATAATTGATCTGAAGTTAATGTATATTATTTAAAAAAACAGATAGACCAAATTAATGGTTAAAGGAGCTCAATCCCTAACATTTGGGACATAGAACTGGACACAAGTGGGTCGCAACTCATATAATACTGTAATATGAATGTATATAAACTGATCAACATTCAATGGTTTCCGTTTTTACTCTAATTTCAAATCAGTTATGTTCCGCGAAATAAGCCAGCAGTCTCAATCGAATGCAAATTTCTAGGGCCTGGTTATTCCAGTCTACATACACTGTTTGGTTTGGTGCAATATTTCTAGCCTCGTTCCTCGAGTCACTTGCTAGAACTGAGGCTGAAACACATTATGGTACACGATTAGTGTACCAATGGTAAAATGTTTATTTTGTCTTAAATATTGGATATCAGAAGCCCATCTTTTTTCTGTAAGATCACAGCATCAGTGTTGATTTAAATTGACAAATAATTTGTGTTTTCAATGTTGAAGATTTTGGATGATAGCTACTTTAGGCAACACAAATAAAATAAGTTGTTTCTCGGTCACCGCACGCAAAAGTGGTTGCGCGTGCGGCCTATTTATTAGTCTTGATGAAAAATAAAAAAATAAGCAAGTCATAAAAAGAATATGCCGCATGTACCTACATGCGTCATACGTTTATATCCATTCAAATGTATTAAACTGATCCAGATGTAAATGCTCATTTACGGGTCTTTTTTATTGATGTCGAAAGAACCTCCATTTTTGTATCACGTGATTTTAATTACCTCCCCTGGTGAACTAGAATTTGATTCATGTTCAACACCGAAAGTCATTGACAACAATGCAATGTATTTCAATCATTCGATATTAATCGGCTCATTATTGCCGGCTTCAGTCGGTCCATGTTTGAAAAATCCTACTGATAAAACAATGAATCGTAGAACAGGTTAATTATTACGAATACGACACGATGATAGTCACCATACCTCAGTCAGAATTTGGGTCATTAGCACATTTAACGGTAGTTTTGATAATCCGGAAAATAATAATTGGATTACACATTTGATGGTTTTACTGACCAGTTGTTAGTTAAATTTAAATAGTCATTCGAAATAAACCCCAGATAGAAAACCGAACATCATGAGAAACACACCGAATATCCTGAGAAACAGTCATTTCCCGAATCCCGATGACACGTGACATGCATTGGTTGGAATTAGGTCAGTAATTATAAACCAGCGATACTAGATTTAGTTCTAAGTGTCGTTTACCGTGATGATTATTTTTGATACACATGCTGACAGAGGCTTACTCTTTAAAATATTGTCGTTATTATGGATGGCTATTAATAGTCGTACGGAATTTTATTTTAAACCAATTTCAATTATGTTTGTCACCATTACCATTAGTAAGCTACATCACGTGAATTAAATATGGAAAATTATTTTCCTTTCAGTCAGTGTTCAGTGTTTGAGTAGACTTGATTTTTGGGTTTATGTTCTAAGTATGTACAATATATAACTGAAAGCAAAACTGTAGACAAGTAATGATTTTCTCATTAAAAAAAAAAAATACAAGGCCGCCCTCCCGCCCCAACAATTTTCAACAATAGCCAAATTTTATTTTTCACCATCCTCTAGCGAGCAATGGGGTAAAAAAAAAAAAAAAAAAAAAGCCCTCCCCCCCTACAGTTTCAGCTGTCAGTTGCCCGAGAAACAAGACATTTATTTTGTGTAGCCTTAAGTAAAAATTGTCAAAACGTCCCAACATGGAATAAGTCTGTTGATTGATATAGAACTATAATAGGAGACGTATCAAAGTTTGAAAAAATAGTAAGCATACTCTACTGTCAATAACCTTATGCACAACACTACCTACTATAACAAACCAAATTACAATAAGTTTATAATACTATTTCTATTGTAGAAAACTATAACAGAGTTAAGGAAAATGTTTCCTGGTAATGAATCATTTGTTTTAAGAGCATGGTCATTTCTAGTAAAATACTTTGGAGAGGTTTGTATTACTTATATTCAGAATACTATAAATGTTGAAATAAAAAAAGTATGAGATTGTGAAATTTATATAATTTATGATTGTAATATATTCCCTTTCAATTTTAGTGCTGATTTCAGGGGCGGATCCCCCCTGCTCAGCTACATTAAAAAAATTGTAAAACAACATTTTTATGAGAAAAGTGTCACGGTCATGTGCTTTGTTCTTTATCATCAGATGGTAGAGTGGGATGGGCATTCAAAACGTGAGATAATGATTTAGACATGTGACATATATCACAATTAAAGCTATGCATCAATGAAATTGAATCACAATGTGATCCTAATAATTCATAATAAAAATTAATGTCAAACGGGGTATTGGATTTCTCTCTTTAAAAAGCTCTGTGTGTATATAGGAATACGTAATTTGGAGACTTATGATTGCATCATGCAATGTCAACTGCCAAATTTCCTTAACAGGAACCTGGTAAACCCCCTCCTGTAAAAATTCCTGGATCCGCCCCTGGATTTACACCATAATGTTTCATTTCATTAATAGTAAATTAAAATTGTTTGTGCTATTTCCCAAGATGGCATAAACATGAGTGTTTTAAGTGTCCCGTTATGGTTTGATTTCTGTTTTGTCAGTAGCTCATAGTACGTCTGCTGGGTTAGGCCTTTCTGACAAGCTCTTTGCTTTTGTCTTTACAGGAGCTGCATCATGGTGGTTTCATTAATATATTGCTTCCTATTGCTGAGCTGGGATTTAAACATTTAGAACCAGAATATAAAATGGCTACTTTTAGAGCATGGAAAAAACTGATTGATAATTTTGCTACAAATCCTAGTAAGATATACTATCAATTATTGCCTATTTCAGTCGACTACTGCCGAATAATTATAAGTGATAGACACTTGACACCAATAAAAAAGTTGAAGAGGATAAGTTGATCTATAGTTTGCAAATCATTCTAAATCCTTTTCATCAGAAATATCGTCTTCAGAATCGGTGTCATCGATATAATCCAATTCGGAATAATTCATAAGCATTTCAACCACTTCGACAGTCTTTAACCTTCCCGACATCGTTAAATTACGTTTTTTTGTCAAAAAATGTTGAACAAAGACATGTTATTCTCAATGCCCTTGACAAGACCAGTTCCTGTCTGACACGCATGCGTGGCCATATCAATTAAATACGGAACTAAATACCCAAATGTGGCTTATAAAAAAGGTTCTTGCTGTGGTCGACTTTAGTCGATTGTGACCACTTAGCTGTATAACGTTATGGTGATTATAGTCAACAATGACCAGTTGAGGGTTAAAAAGGGTACTGGTTGAAATTTTATTAAATATAAGTGAAAAAAATATATCTTGTTGATGGACCATGCAAAGATATTCTAAGACATTGTTTCAAATGACAATTATTAATTGAACTGGAAGTACACAGGACACAATTACTGTTTATAAGATAGCCATTCTTTGACTAAGCTTCTCTAGTCTAACAAGCAAGATGAAAATCTAAAATGGGATGGTACATTTTATACAAACAGAACTTGGACTAACATAAGCAGTGCTTTGAACAGGCCTTGAGAGTTCATTATAAAGATCACCGATCTTGTTATTATTATTATAAACTTCATTCATTTATTTGAAACCAATTATTATTACAGATATAATCGCTGATCCTAAAAGGGTTAAACTTGTCATGCAAGTATTTAAAGTTAACAATGCCAAGATTGAAAGTGTAGCTGTAGAGAAGTTTGATACATGGGTATATTTTGTACGAAATCTAGGATCAAAAATATCAGTCAACTTTGAGCAGGTGAGTTTGATCAATACTGGTTAATCAATCTCTATTTTATATTTAAAAATTAAATATAGAAAATGTTTTACGTTATTTAGTCCGTACAAAGAAAAATATTCTGAGAATCTTTTATAAATAAAACAGGGGTGTTTGAGTTTTTTATCGGAGGATCGTGAAGCTAAATAACCTATAACAAACATCACATATATTTCAAGGTTCTGTATTTATCTTATCATCTCTTTATTCCTATACCGGTATTCACATATTTGAAAATTACTTCTACTGCTTGCTAAGTGGAATGCAAAATTTATAAATTAATTATCTCGCAATGTATCTTTCAGTGCAACATTTAGTTGCCAAGTGTATTCAAAATTAGATATACACAAATAATGTACATATACATAAACATATGAAATTTGAAGGACATAAAAATATGCTCCTAATACATTTGGCACAAATAATGATAATTGTATTGATATTATCAAAGATCTATCAATGAGATATCAGTGGATGTATACATGTATTATACTGTTATATTTGCAGGTGTTGGCACCATTATTACAGTTCTGTACAGGTGGTAATAAATTAGCATCCTCATCTACACCTACAACTCCAAGATTTGGTTAGTTTTACTCATGCTAACAGGGATTCATTTGATTCTTGCTAAATTTGTGGCTTTTTTTCATTTTTTGACAGTGAAAATGATTACTGTCAATTGACAACCAAACATATTTTGGACGTCTGAAGGCTGGATTTTGCGTAATCTTTATTAGCCTTATATTGGAGCATATAGAACCGTGAGTTCCTGGATTATTGCCCATGATTGTACAAAAAAATCTCGTTTTTAGCTTGAATTTTTGTCTGATTTTAATGGAACTTAAACCATATGTTAATATCCCAATGATCTCAGTTCCTGTCAATATTGGCGTACATTGAACCATAACTTTTTGGATCTGGCTCCTGATTGTACGAAAAATCATATTTTATGACTTGCGGTTAACCTGTTGTGCATGGCGACCAGGCCTATATCACTCCCAGGCCCAGGTTCTATATCAACTGCAAAGTTAGTTTAACAATAGACCTGCGTGTATCAGATTTGGGTGAATATATTGAGATTTATGTTATTGTTTAGCATGTTGATCAATCATCCATTTTGGTCAAATGACAAGTTCAAATACAGATATTGTTTCTTCAGGAATTATGAGTCAACCAACAAGTCCAGCCATACCAAGAATAAATATCTCCTCTACTCCATCCAACTTAGTTACATTTAAAGTTCTACAGTTGAAAGGAATGGAGGTATTAGCAAGAATATTAGGAGAACCATTAAAATCAACAGATTACCCCAGATACAGCTTTAGCATAGGTATAAGTCTCCAATTGTCTTCAATAGTTACAAATATCTAATTCCGCTTTAACAAGTCCAGTTGTGATTGAAAGCACACTAGCAAAACACAGAGCATTTGGCCCAAATATTATTTAAAAAAATATTGCTTTTATGTTATTAATGTTAGCTTTGGAGGTTTAGTAAAATGAGAACAATGTTAGAACCTGTTTCTCAGGAATATTTGTATCTTGTACCAAATTGATGGTGTAAACTATGATATCCTATTCAAGGATGTAATGTGCAGCTTCAACATTCCTGCTGCATCAAATATTTTCATTGTGTGAAATATTTTCCGTAGATTTGCATTGTAAATGAGTCCGTTGATTTTTTTCTTCTTCAGATCCGTTTGTAGTTGATATTATTACCAGTCCACTTTTTTTCCTGAAACAGTCTGTTATTCTTATCTCCTGTTTTAGAGAGTTGGTGACGAGTCTCGGCTCCGAAATACCAGGTAAACATTCATTGGAACAATTATTATGGTTGGTGAAGATTTGAATGTATCATAATTATTTGAAAAAGTGGAGACTTGATAATCAGTTCATCCATTTTTAATTTGTCATCATTAATAAACCTTTTATCATACTAAATGTTGAATATATAATTAGAAATTCTAACCCATTTAGATCAGATACTTGCAATATTCTCTTGATAATGTCACTTAGTGTGAACAATTTAAGAGCTTTCAAATGTTGTATTTGAGAAATATAAATGTTTGTAAGCTTGATTAAGTTTGTAGATCGATATATTATGTTTTAAGACCGGACATGGTTGATTTTTATAATTAATAATACTGCTACTTGAACAAGTTCCAATCTGTTAATCTCTCCTGAAAAAAAAAAAAATTTGTCTAATACAGTCAAGGTATCAGACATTAACCATTTCATTGTGAAGTTGGTATGTAATTTATTTGTAGTAGTGTTAAATCTGTTTAACATAGTTAGGATAATAGATATCAGAATTTACATCTTGAAATAACTAAACCGTATTATCTTGTATTGCAGAGAATTTATTATTATATACATGGCAAGCTTTGATTGGTCACGTTCATGTAGCTGTAGATATGACACCCAAATCGGATCATAGACAGATGTTTTCCTACTTTTTGAGTCAGTTTCAAGTAATAGCCTGTAATGATGCCCTATCAGCACATTTAGTGGTATGTTTCTATATTTTCTTCCTTGTCTTATTGCTAAGTAATATATAACAACACACAGTGACATCTGTATTCATTTGGTTTTGTAACATATCTTGAACATTAAGAAATCAAATACACCCACTACCTATAAGAGCTCATAATCTGTGCTGTCCTATTAGCATCTTCTTTCTTAGATTACTTTTAATTATACACCCACATTATGTTGTTGTCACCCCCAATTGACTTAAAATTTCTACACAGTGCTTATGTTCATACAACGAAGAAGAATTGTATTGAATTTTGGTACATGTTTTGTATAATAAATGTTGGCATCAAGAAGAACTAAAAGCCTGACAAATTATAATTATTTCTGATAATGAGTTATAAACAAACTCTCATTACCTGGAAAAATATGTGCTTGAAAACTTTTTGATTAGAATGAAATATGTATTTTGCAGAAGATGTTTGAACCAGTATGTTGTCTACCATATAAAGTTTTATCATCAAATGTTTATAGTGTTGGTAATGGAGAAGGCATCATGGTAATATTATTCTACTTTCGTGTTATTAACCATCCATTAATGTTAAAATTGAATGCGGTTTCTTCCATGTCACCAATGAAACAAACTTTATGTTATTAAGTTTTTGTGTTCATAATATTTATGTTCTTATCTTACTTAGTAATTGAATTGAAAATACACAGATCACAGTTCTATGGAATACAATTATATGTACTGTTTATTACAGAGTGATGTTTTGATCATGCTTCTATAGTCTTCATCAATAATATAAATCTGTTACAACTAACACCTGATATCTATTTTGTAGGGTACACCGGCTTTGTCTTTATGTGAAATTCTACTTTCTCCAGTTTTACTAAGTCTAGCTGCTGAAAAAGAAAGGTAATTATAATTTAATTTATTCTTTTTGCGTAACTTTAAGGTAAGTCTGGATGATATTCTCGATATAATGTCATTTATCATGATAGGAAAATTTGGAATGCAATATTTTTTTTGTATTTGAAATATATTAAGATCATCTCATTTATCGTGTTGCCAGTTATTATATTATGTAAGCTGGTGTTTTCTGTATGTATCGAATCCCCGGTTGTACGTGACAAGGAGTAGGGTTGCCTGTCCAACCTCATGGGTTTTCTCCGGGGACCTCCGGTTTCCTCCCACTGCTAAAGATCCCTACGCGCAAGCAAATTATTGAAATAAAATTATATTAAAAAAACCATGTTAGTCCTGAAATGACCTATTTTGTGTCAAGTGGGTGTTAAACCCCATTTCTCTGTGTTTTGTATGTATATTGCCTGGTACTAATGAATGGAATTTACTAGTGCTTTATCTTAATGATTACAATATATTTATCCTTCACAATTTTTCTCCTTTTTTTGACAGTTTCATGACCTTGTATGGTAAACTGATTGATTGTGGTATGAACAACCCAACAGGAACGTTAGAATTCAGTCATGGTGTTCTAGACATAATAGACAGACATGTTGAGTCTCTTCCTACAATAGAGTTACTATGGAGATTATGGAGTGTCATAGCCAATAGATTATTAGAACATATTATTAAGGTAGCTTTGTTATTGTTAATTGCATATTTTCATTTTGAATATTCAATTGTGTATAGTGTCTTTTCGTTTGCTTGAGTAATAGAATTCAACAGATCTTTTGAGTAAGTGATTGATTCATTATCCAGATCGCGTATTCTATATGCCATTGCACGCTTCCTTTGCTAATGCCGTAAAGAAGTTGTATCAGATGTTCTAGTAATAATAGCTTGTCAGAAACAGTGTTGTAAGGTTATGGATCAAATTCCCTTTGATTAGGATAAGACATACTATATTATAACCATCTCACTCTTCTTTGTTAACCCAAATGGAACTTGTTATAGTAAATGACATCATCGAGAGATAAGAATGGGCTGCATAACTGTTATAATTATAAGTTAATGTGTACATTTAATAATTTATATGAATAAAGACTGATTATTGATGCCTAATTATTCTTGCTTGAAAAGATCTATTTTCATTTTAAGCTATATGGGAAAGGAAGGTATGGGTCTGTCATAAACTGATAATGTCTTGGCACAAGTATATCATTTATCTCACGCATGACTAGTGTACAATGATGAAAGCGACAAGCACATGGCAAGATGAATGACACTGGAAGTAGTCACTACAAACTGACTATTGATCAGATCTGATTTCAAAAATTAGAGATCTGTACTAGTCTTTTGTCACATGACATGGTATTGGTAAACTTTATTGATATATTTCAGACAAGTGAGATTAATCAAGGTGATTCGTTAGAGTATGATTTTACCTGTATATATACAGCTTTATTATTACCAGTTAAACATAGAATAGGTTCTCTTGTATCACAGGTTAGTTTATTATCTTTATTATTACCAGTTGACCCAGAAAGTTTCTCAGGAGTTTCCAGAGTGGTTTCCCTTTGTCAGTGGTGCAGGATGAAGGGTTTGGCAGGGAACAGTTTCTAGTCAATCAAATGGCATAAAAAAAAACACGAGACTGTCTTGTACAGGTTAGCATGTACATGAAAGATCCCATGACAGATAGAATTTGATGACGAGTTTGATGAAATAATGCTAACCAGGAAAATTTTCTCTCTTGTCGTATGTCTGTTTTGGTTAGCATTGGTAAATGCAGGAAATTAGGATGTTAAAGCCCATTTCAATTAAACAAAGATTGTTGTATGTTGTATATATTTTTTAGCCTGTTTGTAAGTCATTGTTGAAGACTTGGTCAGATTTATATAAATGTTTTGTACGTGAATCAGCTTTAGTAACAACAGCTCGAGATAATGTTGTGTGTGAAGATTTTATGTCTAAAATAATAAATAGTCTTACAGATGATGAATTAAAGGTAAGTGTCAATTAAACATGAACATTAATCTCCCAGGTTAGAATCCTGACATCTTGACTGAAACCCATAATCCGTTTTGTAAATAATACCTGTGATCGTATATATATAGCAATACTTTCTCGTTAGGATATGAAAAAAATATGAATGAATTTTATGCTGCACATAAAGGTCTTTTGGTAGTAGGTAGTAGGTGAAATGAGCCGAGTATTGTGATAAAGAGAAATTGAACTTAATATTTCTTTCATCATTTGTTTCACAAGTTTTAAGACTGCATAAATGAAAAAGGAATTAAATGACTGGTTTGTCTTCTTATTGTTACAGGAAATCAGTACAATAGATTTTTTAGTACAAATTCTGCAAGTTGTTGTGGATAGTGTAAACTTCTCATCTCTCTCTGCTTCTTCAACATTTAACATCGGTGGTGCCTTCAGTCCAGGCAAAAGATGGCTAAAACATAAACAGAAACCTCTAGAAAATCTTCATTCATTCATTTCTTTATTGACTGATTTACTCACTCACTCAGTTGATATCTCAGATAATGGATATAGCACCAACAAGGTAAGAGATCCTGTGTTATATTTTGGTAGTGAATCTAAAAGACCTCATGGTGGTTGGAATTTAAGGAAGTGGGAACATTATTTTCGGGGGCAACATTTTTCCACACATTGCACTCGTAACCACAGAAATGAAAACTATCATATTTTAGTCTTAAATTGACCAAATATTGACAGTCTTATTTCATTCCTTTTAAACCATTTCAAGTGGTATCTTTTTGTCCACATGTTCAGATTATGAATATTTAATGAGGACGATTGTATTGTTCTTTCTAACAGAAATCTCCATCTATAAATGTGGCTGTTAATGGACTGGTAGATATTGTCTCCACACTTGTTACTCATGTATCCAGTTCTTCCATAATATCCAATATGTTTGAGAAAATAGCAGAACCATTATCCAGACTCTTTTTGTATTCATCAAATAGAAATGGGAATAAACTGTATACACCGTCTTTCTATCAAAAGGTATGTTCATAATTTAATATTGATTTGTTGATTGTGAATGCAGATGAGGTAAAAATTTGTCATATTGATGAAATTGATGTTTAGCATTATAACCCTCGACAGTTAGAATTTGAAACAACAGTAGACTGTAGCGCTGTTGTCTGGAAAAAATTTCATCTTAGCACTTTGCATGGCGTATACCAATCTTCATTTGTTAAACCCCATTCATTTCTGGATGTCTCCAACTGCTATGTCTGTGAATAGCTCTCCATACTCTAGGACTGGAGGTGGATCGCCTGTCCAACTTGTGTGTTTTATCCGGGTCCTCTGGTTTCCTCTCACTGCTAAAGACCTACGCGCAAGCGAATTATTGAAATAAATTTGAACCATATGTTAGACCCAAAATGACCTTATATGTGTTAAGTGGACCTTAAACCTCCTTTCTCTCTCTCTCTCTCTCCCTCTGTAGGACTAGATACTAATTCTTGAAATACCACAGTTCTTCACATGAGTACTGCTTTCAAGCAGTCATCAGCTTCTTGTCGATATAGCGTTGTCCATTTCTATTCAAACAGGGTCCTAGAGAAAGCTTATGTAGTGACTAGTTCCCACATTGATTCCCACATGTAAGAGTTTGGCTAGCATCAACTGAGTCAACTCATCAGTGTATCTTGAATTAAATATCCAGGTGTAATGAAGACATTTTGTTTTTTTCAGTTGGAAAAGTTATGGTTAGATATATCTACATGTCTACAGAGTCGATATAATAGTATTTATGACAGCGACTTTCTCCATATATTATCTCCCTTACTGGTAGCAACATTCTCACATCCCCGTCGACCAATTAAAAACCAAACAATAGTATTATGGAATTCTACGTTCGGGCGATCTTCCATGTTAAACTACCCAGATAAACTGAAGTAAGTGGAAATTTAAATAATAACTGGCAATATTTGTGACATGTTACCTGTCAGTAAAATCAACAGTGGTAATAAGAATTGTGTTCTGTTATGGCTTAAAACACTACTGTTCGTAGCATTTGTAATTTTGAAATGGCCAAAAGATAGACAATCTGATTAAAATCTGATTTTTTATACGCCCACATTTAAATGTGGTCGTATATTGTCGTCGCCCCCGTCCGTCCATCGGTCCGGCATCCACAAACAATTGTGGACGCTCTAGAGGCTAAAGTTAATATCCGATTGACTTTAAATTTATACAGTGTTTAAGATCATGAGATGAAGAAGCCTATTGATTTTCAGCGATTTCCAATAATTACTGCCAGAGTTATGGCCCTTGATCACTTCAAAAAATCTTGTGGACGCTCTAGAGGCCAAAGTTAATATCTGATTGATCTTAAATTTATACACAGTGTTTAAGGTCATGAGACGAAAAAGCCTATTGATTTTCAGCGATTTCCGATAATTTTTTCCAGAGTTATGGCCCTTGATCACTTAAAAAAATCTTGTGGACGCTCTAGAGGCCAAAGTTAATATCCGATTGACTTTAAATTCATACACAGGGTTTAAGGTCATGAGACGAAGCAGCCTATTGACTTTTAGCAATTTCCGATAATTACTGCCAGAGTTATGACCCTTGATCACTTCGAAAAATCTTGTGGACACTCTAGAGGCCAAAGTTAATATCCGATTGACATTAAATTTATACACAGTGTTTAAGGTTATGAGACGAAGAAGCCTATTGATTTTCAGTGATTTACGATAATTAATGCCAGAGTTATGGCCCTTGATCACTTTGAAAAATCTTGTGGACGCTCTAGAGGCCAAAGTTAATATCCGATTGATCTTAAATTTATACACAGTGTTTAAGGTCATGAGACGAAAAAGCCTATTGATTTTCAGCGATTTCCGATAATTACTTCCAGAGTTATGGCCCTTGATCACTTAAAAAAATCTTGTGTACGCTCTAGAGGCCAAAGTTAATATCCAATTGACTTTAAATTCATACACAGTGTTTAAGGTCATGAGACGAAGAAGCCTATTGACTTTTAGCAATTTCCGATAATTACTGCCAGAGTTATGACCCTTGATCACTTCGAAAAATCTTGTGGACGCTCTAGAGGCCAAAGTTAATATCCGATTGACATTAAATTTATACACAGTGTTTAAGGTTATGAGACGAAGAAGCCTATTGATTTTCAGTGATTTACGATAATTAATGCCAGAGTTATGGCCCTTGATCACTTTGAAAAATCTTGTGGACGCTCTAAAGGCCAAAGTTAATATTCGATTGACTTTAAATTTATACAGTGTTTAATGTCATGAGACGAAGAATCCTATTGATTTTCACCGATTTTTGATAATTACTGCCAGAGTTATGGCCCTTAATCACTTTGAAAAATCTTGTGGACGCTCTAGGGGCCAAAGTTAATATCCGATTGACCATAAATTTATACACAGTGTTTAGGATCATGAGACGAAAAATCCTATTGATTTTCAACGATTTCCAATAATTACTGCCAAAGTTATGGCCCTTGATCACTTTGCAAAATCTTGTGACGCTCTAAAGGCTAATGTTATCATCCGATTGACTTCAGATTGATACACAGAGTTTAAGATCTTGAGAGGAACAAGTATATTGATTTTCAATGAATTTTTATGACTTGGAACAGCTTAATCCATGATATTAAAAGTTTTGTATACAAAACGTTAGCATGGGGTAGAACTTTATAAAAACCAAACAAATTCTAATGGTTTTCTCAGTTGTTGCTCTTAATCAGATTTTAGTGTGTTATAAATGTTTCATTACCGAAAAAAGTAAAAATTTGCGACAACTCTTGTTGACTGCCCGGACGATTTAACTGCTGTGGGCGTATGTTTCGTTGTCTGGCAACCTATCTTTTATACTTTCGATGGCCTACACTACATGTAGATCTAACAAGTTATAGCGGTAGGTCACGTCAGGGGTCAAAAGACCGACTTATGACCCTATGATGTCAGACATTTGATTAACCAATCAGCATTGATGTTACTAGTGGATTACCCACAGTTCCGTGCAAAACACGCCTAAAGCTCGCCGTAACAGACCGTTTGATTGGCTTATCCGTGACACCATTCATAATAAATAACAACTCTTCAAGATCCAAGTGTAGTAAAGACAAGTAAAACGAAATTTTGAACTATAAAAACGAAACGAAATAGGATCTGTGTTTTAACCAGATTGAAAGATTGATAACTGGAGCTACTGTCATGCACAGTTCACTTGTTAGCCTAATTGTTCAAAAAGATAATAGTCTTATTGCAGACTTGATTATCAAATCTATAAGATGTCCAAGGGAGTATTTCACTAATATGAAAATAAAGTTTGTATGTGAACACATCCCAAGTGTTAGTGTTAATCCTCTAGTACTATAACCTTAACACTGGACAACATCTGGGACCCCTAAACGAGTCCAGTAGACAGTAAGTATACTATACTTCATGTATGTTATCTACCACATGATTTATAACAGTTATATTTTGTATTCAAGGGTTGTGTTAGCTAAAGTAAAAGAGAAGACACCTCTATCTTTACCTGGTTGGCTTTCTATTGATACAACAACTATAATAGATGATACACCTGCGAGTCAATCACAGTTTAGTCAGGTAAACATATTCTATATTATTCTTAATTATATTTTCAAGGTATTTTGGCTGCCAACAGGCCTCAGGGTTTTTTGAGGTTTTTTTTCTAACTTAATATATAAAATGCAAAAACAAGCTTGTTTAATATAAATCATTAATGTCCAATAATGAAAGTGGTGAGTGATTGGAGCCTATCAAAGATACGAAAGCATTTTCATTTTGGAGTTAAGTTGGATAACCTAAGATATAGACCAAGATACTCTTGTCATTTCTTGGTTTGAAATTTCATATGAGGCTGACCTTAAAAATATCTTTGTTTCACCAAACCCGACCCACAATCGAGGAGAAGGGTCGGTAGGTCGGTTTTTTTTTCAGATTTTTTTTTAAAGTCAGAGAAATCAATACAGAAAACTTATTAGCTGTATACTACAGATTCATTAATTTTGTTTAATGAATTTGGGGTCTGACGTAAAAAGTAACGAACTGAAAGTTTTTATTAAACTTAAGAGCTAATTTGACAGCTTAATAATTTTCCGGGTGGAAACATTCGTCTTCTTTATTGGCAAACAAATCAATGACATCGGGATTTTTCGTGATGCCCGACTCGCATACGATTAGCCACGAACTTGAAGTGTGAATCTCCTTCAACACGTTTTTAACGATAGTGCGCGTTGTGCTTTCATTTTTCTCGAAAACGGATATTGAAAATATCGTCGTCATGTTTAAAACTACGCACCACAGACATAGAGGCAGAATTATTTCGTGGGAATGGACGTGTATTCGTCTGCAACCATTTTGTTGAGAAGCGACACCTATGACGCTTTCGTCTTGATCAACCAGTTTCAATAATGAATCAAACCATAGCCATAGTATAGGGAAATAACTCTCATGATATATTTCAGGTTGACACACAAAATAAAATAAAAAGATCGTGGAAAAGTGCAATAAAATAATTTAAGTCGGGGGTGGTTTTAGTTAGTCGGTCGCGTTAGGCGAAACAAAGATATTTTTAAGGTCAGCCTGAAAAGCAAGTATAATCTTGGTCTAAATTTCAAAATATACAAAAATCAGAGATGAATTAAATATGATTTCCAAATGCTACAATATTTATGGAAGTCTTTATTTTCTGAAATTATGTTTTACAGATGGATGCACCAGAACCCCATCTACCAGGTCTTCCATCACCTCATAAATTTCATGGAAGTTTCTTAAATAAAGCTGTTTCACCAAATGTCAAAAAATCCCCAGCTAAGCTATCGGTTACAGAATTGAGGAACGTAACAAGTGCTAAGAAAAAATTGGCTATAGACGGTTTGACCAATAATGTAAGTTTTAAAAATTCTATAGCACCTTTGAATAGGTCTTTTATCGGTAGATCCTGCCTGCTAAATTACCTAAAATACCTAAGACAGACATTTCAAACTAATGTAACCATTATACTACTGATAGTACTGGCGAACTAATTCAATTAGTTTGGGTTCAGATTAATTTGTGGAATTGAAATTTATTGGGATTGTTTCTTTAAACAAAATAAAATTATAATTTCAAAATGTTATATTTAAAAGTTGTTTTTTTTTTTATATGAATGTCGTCATCCAGAGATAAAGTGTGATCATAAAAGTTCCATCAGCTACTCTTCCTGTGATCAAGATTTAAAATGTATAAAACTACTAATGTCTATTGTTTAATATTCTATTCCTTTTTCTTTTTTTAGGATTATGTTGTCATCAAGTCATCCCCTAAAAAATCAAGAATTCTAACAGAACATCAAAGAGAATCCATGAAGCAGAAAAGGTACTTAAATATAACCAAAATTTAAACAAGGAATTAAGTATTGTGTAATGAATATGAATTTCTATAGTGCATGAATGTTGTTTGATAGTATAAAAACTTCACTCTCCCTTCAGAATTTGTGAATGAGAACCAGTGTTGTTTTGTTTTTTAAAACTATTAGATTTTATTGATGCATATTGATTTGTTTTTTTATTCAGTGTAATACCAGCTATGTATAATAATTTAGACCAATCACAATCTCTAGATATATCTATGATGTCACAGTTTCAACAGGATACACAACCAGAGTGAGTTATCTATTTATTGTACCTTGGTATATCAGGAAGGAGTGTTTTATTTGATAAATCTACATGTCTGTATCAAGCCATTGTTTACTAGTCAATCTAATGGCCTATTTCATGTAGGCTGTTCCTGCTTTTAGTGGCACCATGTATGATATACTTCGAAATGAAAGACAAAACAGCTTTGATTTATGTTGAAAATAAAATGCTCTATTTGAATTGGGAGTTACAAATCTGTCTTTTCAAAATTCTGATGTTGAGATAAAACTGAAATTGAGGGCCACAATTAATAGAGATTAACGCCATTGCTAATAGAAATAATTTTGACCGCGGACTCAAAGAGATCTGTCTGCCTGAAATTCATGTGATAATTAGACAGCTTATTATTGACTAACTTAATTTCATAGTGATAAGATAATGTATATTTCAGTTTGGTTGTGTCTTCAACAGACAGTGAAGTTATAGTTATACCTTCCAGCCAATCAGAATCTAGTCAATCAAAGGTTAGTGTTATCTTTGCATTTAAATATACAGATGAAAAAGTTATATGCCAGTCATAAAGAACAGATACAAAATGATACAGGATTGAACATCCTACTTTTCTGCATTAGGCAATGAGTAAAATTTTGCTGGGACGGCGGCCCTAGAGTCTACTCTTTTATTTCAAATTCCAATTGTTAAGTTCTTATACGCTAACGTGTGCACAGGACTTCAGTTTTCCATCCTGCAACACTGACAAAAGGATACCACTCTGAAAGTCCTGGGAAAATTTGTCGACTGATAACCGGGTCTCCCGGTTAGCCAGCGCATTAGTTCGCCACCATGGTTCCTTATTAAAATTTAGATTAAAATACACTACAAAGAGAATTTGAGTCACAAAAAAATAGAACTATAGTTTAGTGTCCCCAAGTTTGCTCCCCCTGCATGTTGTAAAGTCTCTTACTGCGAAAGATGAATTTGCTGTAATGTATCCCCATGCTATAGAAACAACCCTTATCATATATTGCAACTCTTCTAAAATTGCTGATTACATGAACTATCGTTAGATTAGAATTGACAGTTTAATGGAAGTTTTTGTTGTATAATTTCAGGAAATGTCTGAGCAATCTCCTGCACAAAATGAGGACTCTGAACCAGAACCTGAAATTACCTTTAAACAGCCTGTCAAAACTCGAAGACGATCTGTGCGCTTTTCCTGGGATGCAGATGATGAAAAAGCTCAAGATAAGACCCTAGGGTCTAGCTCTGTGGCTAAAAACAATACAGATATCAGTGTCAAGTCTGACTCATTATCTTCATCATCTAGTGCTAGTCTTAAACAAAATTTAGAAGGTGCTGTGGGAATTATGGATCAAACATTTGAATCGGTTAGCAACAAAAGTAGTTCTTCATCACTGGAAAACAAAGAAAATAAAATGGACACAATTGATTCTAGTGAATCTGTTTTAGTGAAGTGTAATTCTCAGGATTCCGATCCACAATCGATCAACAATTCACCACAAACCGTCTTCTCACAAATACGATCCTTCAGTCAATCTCCTCAACGTTCACGTATACCCTCTCCAAAACGAAAAAGCAACAGTCAAGAAATTCGAAGCTCTTCCAGATCACCCAAAAGAAAATCAATCAGTGCTTCTTATAATTTTAGTCTTGATAAATGGGTGGTCAAGTCTCCATCAAAAAGTCTCACAACTGGTGATGATTTAAAAGGTAACGATAGTGTTTCATCTCAAGTGTTAGTCGAAGACACACAGTCTCCCACCAAATTTAAGAATGGCTCTGCAAAGAGTGACTCTGCTAGTAGTGTAACGCCTAATCGCATTTTGTTTGATGGGAATAAACCAAGCATGGTTGCTGAGAGTCCAGAAATAGTGCCCGATTCACCAGAGCTTAGTGCTGTTGTAAAAGTTCATAAATTAACAGATAGTGATATTAAGAAATACTCGCAGGAAAATGCTTTTGAATGTTCTATGGATGAAAAAATGCAGAACTCTGAAATGTTTGCTTTCTCTGAGAATAAGGTCAATAGTTCACAAGGTTTTGAAACCGCATCAAAATCACAATCATTAGGATTTTTCAGTCAGGAAAGAACTTTGTCGCAAGAGAGCAGTCAAGGAATTCCCTCCACCGACGATTCAGTACGAGGTATTTCTGGAATTTTGACTGCTGAACAGAAAGAACTGCTTAATGATTGTCCATCCACAGAAACAGAAGACTCCATATTTTCAGCAACAACTCAAAGTCAGAGTATTCTCAGGACAGAGCCCACTTCAGTTGTTGATGATGTTGATATGGCTGAAGTGGTAAGTGCAGATGATAACATGAAATATGATCCCACTACATCTAATACATTAAAAGATACTATTTCCCAGGAAACCACAGTACTAGAGAAAGATGAAGATGATCAAACACCACAATCTTCTCAAGGCTCTGAAAGTGAAAACAGTCAGTGTGATGGAAGCTATGATCCAACAAAGATTTCCACATTTAATGAAGATAATGCTAAAAAGAAGCGGAAACAGGCAACACCAAAGAAATCTCCATTGCCAGTTACTCCTCGTCGCACACCTAGACGTCACAAAAAAAGACGTCATTCAAATTGTGACTGTTGTTCAGCCGAGGAAGATGCAGACCGTTCGACTCTAAAAAGCATTTCTGAAGAAAAAAATGAAAACAAAAGTCAATCAAAAAATGAGAAAACTACTGAAATATCCTCTCAAGAAGAAGAAAAATTAAAGGTGACAGTAAATATAGAAAATCCTGATTTAAAGAAATTGGAAGAAGAACAAGATTCATCTAATGTGGTTTCTGATTCTCGTAAAGATGATTTCACTGAAGATTTAATATCAGAGTCAATGGAGGCAGCTGAACAAACTCCTGAAGGTAAAACAACGTGTAAAGAAATTCGTAGAAAAAGTACTACAAAGGAAAAACTTGCTGTAGCCAAGCGTAGATCGGCAAAATTGTCTGAAGAAGGAAACAAATCAAGAAAACAATTGGATGAAAATTCAGATGTTAATAAGGCAGTCGATAAAAACGAAGTTGAAGCAAACACAGACGTCTGTTTGCCCGATCGTGAAATAAAAAAAGAAATGTCTGATACAAATTCAAATAACAATTCAGATCTCAGAAAAGACCTCCCTGTTGTTCCATGTGAAAATTTAGGTGAAAAAGACAATGATTTGCTTGTTGACGCTGAAATATCTTGTAGTCAATTGACTGAAGATTCAAAGACATCATCTCAGGAATCCATGACATTTTCAGCATCCACATCCAAAGATTTTCCTAACAGGTCGACTCGATCAGCTAGTAAAAGAAAGAATAGAAAAACTTGTTCCCCGAAAACAAATCGTTTAAGGTCCTCGGGGCTTGTGATACAAACTCGTACGTTGCGTGATGGAAAGAAAATAACTTTAGCTAAATTGTCACCGGTTGCAAAAAGGGTTCGCAAAAGAGCAAAAAAAAATCGATCAGTTTCAGAAAGTGATGCTGGCAATGAAGCTGAAAAGGAAATTTCAGAAACAGAAAGTGAAATGTTGGAGAAGAATGGAAAAGCCAGTATTTCTAAGACTGATTCTCAGAAACAGGATGATAGTATTAGTGATAATCAAGTTAATGATGTTTTTGGAGAACTTATAAGTAGCAATATTAATCAAACTAGCAATGATTCTAAACAAGACAAAATATTTGATAAAATGACGGTTATGGGGGACTCGGACAAAAGTGATGAACTCCTAAATAAGTCTGATAATATCAAAATTGACAATAATATCAAAATTGACAATGCTAAATTGATCGAAACTGAATCAAAAGACAAAAGTGCAGACATTACCAGCACTGATGAACAAATTATTAAAGTGTCAAAGACTGAAATAGATTCGATTGAGCCAGTATTAAAAAATTCTGTAGATGGAGAAAAGGTTAGTCGAGATGCAAAAGAAAAGGCAGGAATGCTCTCACCCATTCCGCAAGAAGAAACACCCAAAAAATTCAAAGGATCCAAGAAAAGATCCTTATCTGGATTAGTTAATTCTGATTCGAAAGTGATCGGATTGAATCGTTTGGGATTTAAATCGAGAGGTTTTAATATCGTTAGACGAAGTATATTACAACAGCGTAATATGAGTGATGATCAGAGTAAAACAAGTATATTTAAAACAAATAGTTTAAGTCCAAGTCGATCGTTTTCATCTATAACAGCTTCACCAAGTACAAGTATATTAAAGAGAAGATTAAGTGTAACTGATATACAGTCTAACTCCCCTTCACCTCCAGCTAAGGTAGGTTTAAAAGAGCTAAATCTTTTTGATTTACGTTGGGTAAAGTACAGCATTGAATTCGGTTAATTAAATTTTTTGTTTTGAAAGATTAAATTGAACCGGTTTTAGGGATGATGATTTTACACTTCAGATATGGGCAAATTTCATTTCAGATTTTAGTCAATTCCATTTTTTTCCATTTCACAGCAGAAACACATGGGAGTAGGTCTATCACTGAATCCATTATGGCCGATCAATGTTTCTTTTATTCAGTATGATCCTTCACCAGGGGTCTCAATAACTTTTCGAACTTGATTAGCAGAACTGCTAATCAAGTTAGATAGGCTAAATTCAGGCAAATTGATTAGCAATGTCCAGTTTTGATTAGCAGTGTGTGAATATCCATTGACTACAATTTTGGAAAACTGTGATTGAAGTAAAATCTATCTGTTGAATTGTACAGTATTATGCAAAGCATGATTTCAGTCACACTATTTCAAAATTATTGTCATAAAAATTTTAATGAAATTAATGTCTGCTCATTACTGTGTGTGTATTCTCGACATGTTATTAACCGGTAAAAAACGTAGTAGGCCTATCAGAATAATTTCTGTGTTGATTTGTCTTTCGAACATTCAATATTCACAACCATGTCACTTGTTGACGTAACAGCCATTAACTCGTCAGTGCTGATATCAATCAAATAATATTTTACACGTCGATGCATCGGGAGCTAACATCGATACTTGCAATGCATCGATGATTGATGATACATCACCGATATCGGTAAATTTGACAGACTTACAACTACTACAAAGATCGCTGTCGTCGATCGAAAATTCCCTGCTTCAAATCTCCGTTATAAATTCATCATTTAGTACCCGCATCAATACTAGTGCCTACCTTTGTTAAATATTCCATAATATCTATCCCATTTTGTTAAGAAAATCAATAGATTATTTTTATTTTATCAAAAAAACGCCTGTAATTAAAAACAAATCAGCGGGATGTAACTCCATGTAATATAGGGGGCACTAGAACTTATAGTAGATGATTGTGACCAGGGCTGCCGACAACCAGTATCGCAGCGCAATTTGCGATACATATTTTGTCCGTTGCTAATCAAAAATTAAAATCTAACGTTTTTGATTCGCAGTAACTGCGAATCAATAATATGCCTGTCATTTTGGATATTGACACAAAGATTTATCCACATTTCTCAACACTTTCAACGCGTATAAAATATCAAATAAATTTTATAAACAAAACGGAATTCTCCGTGTGACATTTTCTTCTCGAACTACCCAGACTCAATTCATGATACTATATAATACAGGGACATAACTCTATGAATCGGGACTATTAAACTGGAAATAGCGAATCAAGTAGTACCACTCACGTTGCGAGACATGTCAATTTCGAGTAATTATATCAGTATTCAATTTGAAAAAAAATAAATTCAGTGTATCCCCCACGTATTGTAAATAAAATATAAAAAATAAATACGTGTAAACTTATTGTAAAGTGAGAAATCAAAGTAAGAATTCCCGTAAACTATTATTGTTTATATCGCGTGCGTCTAGTTAATCGAGATTATTCGTAAAATACTGCGTGCTTCCGATTGAACAAAAATAATAACATACGATAAAAAGCAGACGAAATTGTTTTCTAACGAAGAAATAAGAAGCCACTGCCAAGAATTGGCTTCAGACATAAGGCCTAACAAAAGTCTACATTCATTCAGAAATGTTCACAGCTAGCTGTAGAAGTGCTAACATTCTAAAAAAATCTTAAGAATGAAATCTAATCATTTGCTATCAATTAAAATTAAAATAATCTTGTTATTTAGGTGTTTTATGTTAATTTGAAACTGAAAAACTGCTAATAGTGCTAATCAATTTTTAAATTTGCTAATCAAATTTGGCAAAATTGGACTTTTTGATTAGCAGTGCTGCTAATCATCTGTGAAAAATTACCGACAGCCCTGATTGTGACTAAACTGGCGAAGAAATGTCGAAAAATCGTAACGGTTACGTATTGTGTTTCCACAAACTGGATAGACGACTTATAACAATGATATTAAGGGGATATTTTATTGGGCGATAAAAATAGACACACTCCGACATTTCTTTTTCGGACGATTCCTTGATTTTCCGCGAATCCATTTGACAATGTGAATTCCGCATTTTCTGCGGCTTTTCCATCCCTACGGTTTCATGAATTTAGTTTTATTTGTTGCTCACTTCTATCGACAGCTATAAACGTAAAATTTTCAGACACGACAGATCAATAAACATAAGTGTATCAATAAAATTGGCCATTTTATTTGTGACCCGATTGAAAGCAGTTTAGACATTCTAAATTGTAACTGTTTAAAACTGATCTAAATCAAACTATATTTATGACCATTATTTAGTCTCCCAAATATTTTGAAGCTTTTGATTGCTAGAAATGAAAAAGGTAATCAGGTAGCCCAATCACTGTGCCAAATTATAGATTTGAATTTATAGCAATCTCATTAAAACACAGATCCGATTTGGGGTTGTTTTTTTTTTTTTTTTTATAGTTCAAAATTTCGTTTTACTTGTGTTACTACACTAGGATCTGGAAGAGTTGTTATATAACCTGCGTCATGGCTCAAAATGTTCGCCTGTCTACTTGTCGCCGACAGGCGATTTTTTCGTCTGACAGGTAGCAAATAAAACTACCTGTCGCGGACTAAATTTTACTTGATGTTCAGTAAATTGACCACAATACTCACGCCCACGTCACGTACATTTAATTATTAGTTTCTAAATGCAAGAATTAAGCACGAAAATACCGCGAAAAGCCGCCATTTGCACTGTTTACATTTCGCTCTGTCATAGGCTACAGTTACTCACACAGTTTGGAAGTAGACAATTTTATATCAATGAATTTCACACCATCTACGCTTGTTTTCATCTGCTTGACACTAGTTTATAGCATTATGGAGTATTATATCTAAATAAATTAAAACGCACCCCCAAGTCACCTGAAATAATTCTACCGTAATGACACCACAGTAAATATAGTAGTGGTTGGAATGGAAATGCACACGGCTCGTTGCTTGGTGTATTTAATCATTTAAAAAGTTTTAAACAATTTCCATAAATATAGGTTATGAATAATTTATAAGACAATTTGACAAAATCAAAAAATCAGGTCGGAAAAATATTTCATATATAAATATAATTTGTAGCGTAAATATAGTCCAGATATGTGAGAAGGGAATTCCAGGTGGCGTTATCTGTCCTTTGCACGCGGTACATGTAAATACGGTGCCATGCACAGGTGTGATTTGTGTTTTGATATTCAATTTATTACGGTTATTTTAAAACTGAATTCTACAACTCAACGGCGAAGTATTCTTGCGACAGGTAGCTCTTTTTAAACATTTCGAGGCCTGACCTGCATTCTGTTTGATGTGAGGGAGTAGCCAATGAAACGTTGCAGTGAGTTCTTGGCATGCAATGCACGGAACTGTGGGTATCCTACTAGAAACATCAACGTTGATCGGTTAATCAAATGTATGACGTCATAGTGTCAAAAGCCGCTCATATGATCCCTGAAGCAACCTCCCACTACAACTAGTCAGATCTTTATGCAGTAGAGGCCATCAAAAGTATAAAAAAAAAAAAACGAAACGAAATATAGATCTGTATTTTAATCAGATTAAATTTATAGTGAAGAAAGTGTGAATTACATGTAGCTATATCTTGTGTATACAATTCCATAACCGCAAAACTCCTTTGAAAACATTTGCTTATGTACATGTATTTTAAAGTTTTCTTTGTAAATATTTAAGGTTTTTATATAAATATTTCAGCAAAGAAGAGTATCATTTGCTACACCTATAGTGGAAGGAAAGAGTCCAGTGAAATATCAAGAAATAAACAACATACCTCCATCACCATTGATTACAAACAGTTTTACACAATTAACATGTACTGGTAATAAGGTAAGTTAACCAGAAATAAAACTAATTGTGGAATATTTTAACATCTTTTTATGCATTGGTTTATTATATTTCTTTTATGTGTACCTATATTTCAAACTTGTGGCTTAAGTTAAACATCTGTTTCCACATAGGGTGAAATCACAGCGTAGTTTGGAGATAGAAGAATGATTAAGTTTTACTGCCTCCATTTCCTTAGTTAAGGCACAAAGGGCCTTTTGAGTTATAGTTTCCAATAGAAACCATTCCAAGAATCCATCCAGGTGTAGCTACTGGATATGGCCTAATAAGGCCTGTGTTGCCATCTAAGATCTAAACTAATTACAGTTTTGAAAATCTGGCATTAGGACCTTCTATAGGATGCTATATTTATTTAATGATTAGCTGTTCAGGTTTACTATTTGCAAACTAATATTAACAAAATTTCTTTTGAAATTATGAGCTTATTAACTATTTATGCTTTGCATTTGTTTTGTTAGTATTTAGTTGGTTCACCCAGTTACAGAAAGAAAAAAAGTAGCATGGAAAAGGTATGTTTCTCACCTGGACAACATATTGTTAATCTATTAAGAAAAATGTGATGGTTTTTAAATGCCCACATTTAATGTGCAGGTAAATTGTCATCTCATTTGTGGGTGTGTAACCACTGTATCTTGTGAACAGAAGCAGGACAGAGTTCTCCTTGATATTTTTTAAATTTGTGTGAGTTTAGAGCTAACACGGTTGATTTTGCTGATGGCAGGGGTATTATGCTGCATAACATGTTTCTGTTTTCTCTTTGCCTCTAGTTTTATATATTAACACTTTTGATGTTATTGTATTTAGCTTGTTTATATTCAGTACTCACTTTATATATAATGCTTTATATATAATCTTCCTGATGACTGAGATTAAATTTAAAACCGACCAGAACTTATGGAGGAAAACATTTTGCATCAGTACTGCCGACATATTTAATCTTAGTATTCAACCTTGTTTTGAATATGATCAAACAAAATCAACCAATCAATTTGAGTCAAGAACTGTATGTTTACAACAACAGAATTTAACTCAACTATGGATTCAATGCTGAAGGTAATGTTAAATTGTCTACCATTGGCGCTTCTCGATTTGCTACTTAATGAGTGGAGTAATAAACTAGGATTAACATGCCATTCTATATTTTACAGGAGATAGAAGACTCTGAATCTCAAGCCAGCCAATCACAGCCCTTTAGATGTACGGATGAATCAGTACTCAATGTGAACGGACCTGCTTTCCCCGAGTTTATAGATTGTGATTTACCAGTTGAAAAGATTTTACCACAATTAACATCATCCTTATGGTACGTAGAAACAGCTTCGTACCACCAGGATGTCTATTTATATTTTGTTTGTAGACACTCTACAGTTTATAATTTTTATCCGATTTTAACGAAACTTTAAATATAGATTTATATTGCAGAGTTCTCTGTTCCTTTTAGTATTGGCATGTATCGAACTGTAACTTGGATTATGGCCCCTGATTGTACGACAAATCACATTTTTAGCTTGTTATCTGTCCATCTCTTGCAAAATGTGGGCGTATCTTGCATGGAAACCACTTGTTCTATTTTTAATTAACAGTTGATGAATGTTCTTTAGGTAGTAATTCCGATGATTAAGATTACTAGAAATATGAATATTGTTACATGGCTGTACCTTCACTACATACTATAAAAGGCATGGAATAGGACAATATTTGATTTCTTTCGAAATAAAAATGTTATGTTAGATTAACTTGAAATAAAATGTTTTGCAGGTCAAGAGGACTGGTGCAGCTCATTCGTTCCAATGTTAAAAATATTATTAGTGTTGGTGATCTCTGTAGATTATCAGAATATGAAATAAATAACTTACCTATTCGTCAACCGAAATTACCTACTCTTCAGAAAGCTTTAGCAACATTAGAATATAAGAAAAATAAGGATACTGTCAACGTGGAGAAAGGTAATTTTCATTTTAAATGTCTTTTGTGTTGTAATTATTTTAAATATTAGTCAATCTTACCATTCGCCTGTAAAAAGATAGATAGTTCGACGTAACGTTTCATTAGAGCTCCATTAATAATATTTAGCGATTTTTGTGCATGCACTATAGTAAATTTCATTAAAATTACTGAAAATTAACTTTACCGATGTTCCAGCTCGAGGAATAATTGCTACATTTGTAGAAAAGTCTCAACATTGCAACATGAAATGACTAGTTTGTAAAATATTGTTCAATAATATTGAATACCTTGAATGTATCTTGAATGCCTTTGGTTAATTCGTAATTCTGTTTTATTACATTTTATTTTTTTAATTTTATTTGTGTTGGTTAGACGGTGAATGTATAGAAGAAGAAAATATGCCAATGAAATACAGTTTACCCACAGTAGTAGAAGATGAAGAATGTGATGAAGAACTACCCAGTGCTGATGAAGCTTTACAAAAACTTGCTGATGCTACACCCCAAGTAGAAGGTAATACAGAATATTTTATTAAACTCTAAAATGAATTATTTGTTTTATCCATTAAATACAAGATCTCACATCATGGATCAGAAATGTCAATTAGGAAAGAAGAGGCATGACATGTTCCACAAAGAGTTTGTCAACTGTGTCTTTGTATTGTAATAATTAAGCAAAATGTTTAATACATAAATTGATAATGTTTTGTTTTATTCTACTTAGATTGTGATGCAGATGATGCATTAAAGTTGAGTCAAAATTCTGATTCTGACCAATCAACGAAGAGTTTACAACTTAACATTGAAGATCAGAGCCATTCAAGTGCTACTATTCCTAATTTAAGTGCCTTAGAACCTGATAATCTATTGGACATTGTAAAAGAAATTGGTCAGTCGGGAGTGTTTGATAATTTAAATGATATTCGAACTGGAACTTTATTTCAAGTACATCAACATTTAACAAGTTTTACAAATAAAGTTGTTGCAGCTATTCAGAGCAAGTGTCAATCACCAAATAATACACAGGAATAAAGACAATTAGAAACATATTCTATTGTACATATATTTCCTCTTTTGATTATCGTGATTTCAGATGTTTTTAATACATGTGAGCTAGAAATGTCTTGCCAAACTGGTTGTGTTGATAGAGTAATACTTGTGTAGTGGTAGGTGAAAATCAATATTAAAAAATAAAAATATCTATGTAAATTTATAAACATTTATATATAAATCGATACAGAAGCTTTGACCTACTTATGCAAGAATTGTCCATAATTATTTTTAAAAGATCTCCATTGTTAAACCGGTTAGCTGTTACTAAAAAGTGCTGGTCTGATATATTATCATAATTTGTAACCATGTTTTAAGTTTCTTTTCAACTCAACAACTTAAAACATGCATTATGCAAGAGTAAAATCTGCTTATTACAAGTCTTTCTTTAGGCCTGAAATGTTATCTAAATTATCAATTAGACATTAATTAACTTATCCAGACCATAATAAACTCTTGATGTCAAGGCTAGCCTTCGATGTTGGCTGGATTAGATTCCTATATGCCGCTTAACGGCCATTGATAATTAAATCAAAACAGAGGATAATCGAGACTATGCTGTTTATATTAATGATTTTAGTAATGATGACCGAGACTATGCGAAAATTTCACGCGCTTCGTTCTCTGCTCATAGTGGATCAATTTGACTGAAATTTTCAGCAAATTACCTTTACACTATCTAGTTTTTAACTATTATAGCGAGAACTGCCATCTCTTTATCTTATCTCCCATAATGTATCTTTAATTATCTCAATTTAGTATACTGCTATACAAGACAAAAAAAATAAAAGTTTTACAATATTTGCTGTTGTAAATAACTGTATTGTCCTTTCCAGACATTCTGGTGTAGTTAGATTTTCAAGTTGTTACATTGTGTATTTATATATATATATGCCCACTCTGAAATCGGGTCGAATAATGCCATTGCCTGTCCTGTCACCGGATCTTTTTAACACTTAAATATGTTGTTTACATTATTGAGACAAAAAAATCATCTTTAAGAATCTTTCAAATACTGGCGAAAAAGTAATCCAATCTAATCGGTTTAGAGTTATATACATTTTTCAAATTAGTGACATGAAACAGCTCATTAAATTTAACAATTTCTGTGAGTTATGGCTCTTGTTCTTTTTGTAAAAGCTTGTGCTGGCTCTTAGTTTGCTTGAAAATTCATGATTCAACATTTGTGAACTGCTCCTATGATATTGCTGTGCTGTAAGTGTGTTGGCAACCTATCTTTATTATATTAGAATAATTATTGTTTATATTTCTGTGTTTATCAAAATTTTTATTGGTGTATGGGACCAGAATCAAATTATGCTTTTAAAAAAAATTTTGTAAAATAATGTAACTTAAAATTGTTTCAATTTTTAATCTGTATGTGTATGTAGTATCTCATTAATAAAGTTAAGAACTATTGGTTTCTGTTACATGCATTGATCAATCTCTTGTCAGTATGGGAAGCATGCTGGCTCAATAAGCAGGAGGCTGGGTTTCAAGAAACTTAAAAGCGTTATTTCCACTTTGCAGTGGTGCTAAGGATGCTCATCTAATTGTCCAAAGATAAAACAAACGAGGTATGCACGTAAAAGAACCCTTGACAGTTGGAATTCGAAACCACCAGTTAATGACTTAGTCATTATCAAGTTGAACTCAGCAAGTAAAGAGTATAACTTAGTCCCATCTTTTTATGCCAACAAATGAGTTTTCAAAGGACTTGTCAGCTTATAAGGTTGACGTGTTGTCATATGTCTGTAATCACAGTGGCCAAGACGCTGGCTTGCTAGTCTGGAGGTTGGGTGTTCGATCCCTGCACTGGCCAAGAAAGTTCATCCAGACTTTCTGGCGTGGTTACCCCTTGTCAGTGACCTGACAAGGACAGCTGTCTAGTCATTAGGATGGGACAAAAAACAAGGTCCTGTGTACACCTTGGCATGCACGTAAAAGATCCCTGGACAGTTGGAATTCGATAAGAGTAGACCATAGTTCCGCTGTCCGAGCAAAATTTCCCTCATAGCACACTGTATCATATGCCCGTCTTCATTAGCCAAGTTCGGAGCAGAACAGTAGGACGTGAAACCCCATTTCATTCAGGAGAAGTGAACTTAACACATATTAGCTGCCATTGGTAATTAAAATCCAATGGTTAATAATGAATTCTTCCAGCATCACCAAGCCTAATCTGGCTTACGAGGACACACTAAACATGGGACAAGGCTGATAAATTGTTGTGACCGCATATGCCAAACCTGAGACATAAATTCAACACTGTCAGATTAAAAATTAACAATATTTCACAACACTATATACAAGAAGAAGAAATGCTGCAAGATATTTTAACATATTTATTTGGTGATGAACATGAGTTTCTGAGCATCTGTTTTATCAACAGGTAATCTGATTAATGTTTGTCAAATTTTATCTGATCAACAGATTTGATACAGGATAGATTAATCACATTGCTCCCACTTCCAAGATATCTCCATCTTCCACACATAATGAGTTGTAAAAAATGTCATTTAACCAGTGTCCAGTCAATACCATTTACTTAGCAGTTTAACTTAATTAAGGCCTTCTGAAAATCCTGAATGATCCCAAGCAGTGATCATGAGTTATCCCCTGGTTTCACAAATTTTCCCTGAACAAAAATCCTTGGTACATTGATTCCCTCTTTTTTATTGACAGTATTTCTCTGAACATAATCATTTCTCTCCTGTATAAAACCAGCTTCTGTCATCATGCCTTCTAATATTTCTGAAAAACATCAAAATTAAACATCTTGATGACCAAAAATAATGAATAATTATTTCAGAACAGGGCTTCCCTTATGTCTCATCATCTGTGGTTTAATGATTGAGAGTGATACATTAAAGATACATTCCCGCATACAAACTGGGTGATTTGATGATATATTTGGCCTAAAGACATATTCAAACTTAATTAATTTATCATAAATTTGCTTCAAATCCTTCTCAAAACATTGTAATTGTCAAGGAATACCCTTGCTATAAAAATCGATCAAAAGAGGTCATGTTTGTGTCAGGTGACTTACGGGTGAGAAGGCGGAGGAGAATTCATTGCATACACAAGACGGTGTTGTCTTTAATCCCTGACTATTTATTACAAATATTGAATCCTAATTAAATTCTAGGATTATTCACTGCCCGCGTCTTTTTCCGTGATTTTTATCTCAGAAAGTGTTGTACGTCTAACTCTTCATAAAGTTTATCAACATGTACATCAAGCGCTCAATCTCTGCATGCATCCTTTGACATCATGCGTGCAGATATTCCTAATCATCGGGCTGTCGATTAGGGGAATTCAGTATTTTTCTAGTAAGATTGGACATATCTACTTTCCATATATACCAAAATTGCCATACTTTTATTGGAAATAACCACCCGATAAATACTATTCTGGGAACCTATCTTTAAGTAATATATAGATCCTGCATGCGGGTGTTAGCCTGAGTGTTGTTTCAATATATTACGCCATGTCTTAAGCTCAAGACCATTAGACAACTTAAGGCAACACAAATAAAATAACTTGTTTCTCGGGCACCGCCCGCACGCAAAATTGGTTGCGCGTGCAGTCTATTTATTAGTCTTGATGAAAAAAAATAAATATGTAACGCCCGCCCGCACATCGACAAGCAAGCCGTAAAAAAAATATCCCGCATGTACCTACATCCGCCATACATGTATATCTATTCAAATGTATTAAACCTGATTCAGATGAACATGCTGTCTTTTTTATCCGAGGGGATCACGTGGCTAGGTGGGTAAGACGCTAGCTCGCTAGCCTGGAGGTCGGGTGTTCGATCCCTGCATTGGCCGAGAAAGTTCATCCAGATTTTCCGGCGTGGTTCTCCCTTGTCAGTGATGCAGGACGGAGGGGCTGACAAGGAAAGCTGTCTAGTCGTTCGGATGGGACGAAAAACCGAGGTCCCGTGTACACATTGGCGTGCACGTAAAAGATCCCTTGGCAGTTGGAATTCGATATAAGAGTAGGCCGTAGTGCCGCTGTCCGGGCAAAATTTCCCTCATAGCACACTGTATGGCGTATGCCCGTCTTCATTAGCCCAGGTTAGGAGCAGAACAGTAGGACGTTAAACCCCATTTCATTTCATTTCATTTCATTTCATTTTTTATCCGAACAATGGCGAAGTTTGGCAGATTTGCCTTTTTTATTGATATCGAAAGAACCTCCATTTTGTATCACGTGATATTAATTACCTCCCCTGATAAACTAGAATTTGATTCGTGTTAAAAGTCATTGGCGACAATATTTCAATCATTCGATCGTAATCGGCTCATTATTGCCGGCTTCAGTCGGTTTGGAAAATCCTATTGATAAAATAATGAACCGTAGAACAGGTTAATTAATTATAGCTAAGAATACGATACGATAACGATAGTCGTCATAATGCATACCTTAGAATCTGGGTCATTATTAGCACATTTACGGTAGTTTCGATAATCCGGAAAATAATAATTGGATTACCGATTTGATGGTTTTACTGACCAGTTGTTAGTTAGATTTAAATAGTCATTCAATATAAACACCGGATAGAACACCGAATATCCTGAGAAACACACCGAATATCCCAAGAAACAGTATTTCCGGCAATCTCCAATACCGATGACACGGTGTGACATGCATTGGTTGGAATTCGGTAAATAATTATAAATAAACCGGCGATACTAGATTTAGTTTTAAATACTGTTTACCATGATTATTATTTTTGATACACCTGGTGAAAGAGGCTTAGTTTTTAAAAATATTGTTGTCTTTATGGAGGGCTATTACATAGTCGTATGGAATTTTATTTTAAACCAATTTCAATTATGTGAATTAAATATGGAAAATTATTTTCCTTTCAGTCAGTGTTCAGTCTCAGTGTTTTAGTAGACTTGATTTTGGGTTTATGTTTTAAGTATGTACAATAAAGTTGAATATAACGGAAAACAAAAACGTAAACAAGTAATGACTTTCTCATTTAAAAAAAAAAAAAAGAAAGACCGCCCTCCCGCCCCAACAATTTTCAGCAATAGCCAAATTTTATTTTGCACCATCAATGAGTAAAAAAAAAAAAGAAACCGCCCTCCCTCCCTACAGTTTCAGCTGTCAGTTGCCCGAGAAACAAGACATTTATTTTGTGTGGCCTAAAATACAGACACTATCCCTTGTGTGCTTTTCAATGAAATATGTCACACAAGCCCTATATTTCATCTAGTATAAATAATATACGATAGCAAGTTACCTGTACATTATTTGAAATATAGTACGCCAACATCTAAGCGTGACCTCACATCACATCTGTACTTTAAATGAGTATACTGTTTATAGTACCAACTGATTGATTCAACAACAATGGATTATAATACATATCAGAAATCATTCAATATATTGCAAGATATGTACATAATAAAGTTATAAATTCAATATTGATACATGTCATAGGAAATTCAAACATTGTAGAATGTACTACTGTTTCAATAAATGTAAATATATACTACATGTATTTACCTAATGAAAAATAATAAGCTCGGGTTCCATCTTGTCTCACATAAAAATTCTCAGATAATTTATGTCCAGCTGCAAATCTTAACATCGCAAAATCATAGAGTCCATAATCTCTTATTAACAAACAACCACCTGGCTTTATTACCTGATTAATTAAAATAAATAAATTAAATATTGGCAACATAAGTTTTAATATCCAAACAACATTTAGATGTTTTGCAATGACAGGATTGCATGGAAATTTATAATAGCTGAACTGTGTAGATCAGCTTAGTGTATGAAAAAAAAAGAATGCAATCAATCCTGAAGTTTAAAATCCAAATAGCATTAAGATAAAATGGAATTTTAGTTGCTTAACCTTTTTTTATTGAATAGCAGGAATGGCCAACTTCTGTTGCCAAATGGGGCGTATTGGATGATTAGAAGTAACTGGTAAGCCTACTAATTATTTTTAGCAATTTTATTATTTAGTGCACATCCTTTTAGCTAGTGTTATCTTCTTTAATTCAATCTGTTTCCAATTAACATATGCTTAAAGGAGCTAAATCTCTATTCTTCGGCACCTAGAAATGGACACAAATGGGTCACAATGCATATAATAATAATGTAATATGAATGTATATAAACTGATTTACATTCAATTGTTTCTGTTTTTATTGTTATTTCTAATCATTTATGTTCGTGAATAGGCCAATGTCAGTCTTTGGCTTCTGTTACTCCAGTCTACACCGGTAGTATTCTTATATGGGATATGTTTAACCTCTGTCATCGAGTCCCTTCATTACAAATGGTGCTCGAAAACATTCTGGCACATGATTCGTTTGCCAATTTTAAAATTTTCATTTTGTCTTAAATATTGGATATCAGAAGCCAATCTTTTCACTGTAAGATAACAACATCAATGTTGATTTAAATTGACCAGTAAGTCATGTTTGCAATGTCGAAGACTGGATGATACTGAGTTAGACACTTGCCTCCTTTAACGAATCAAACTAGGAAATTTAAGTTAAATTAATTGTGGGGCACATCTAAATTTTTGTGTAAACAAATCGGTGCATGGTATGTAAAATGTTGGCACACCTGCTGTACAGTGTTACCCAAAATATAAAAAAATAATGAAGGCAAAAATTCAAAATTGCTGTGAACCAAAGATTATTCAAAATTGGCAGTTTGACATCTTACATGTAGGTAGACCAATATTTATAATAAAAATAAATTCTCACCCTAAAAACATTTTTTAGAGCATCCACCATTTTATCTGGATTAACAGCTGATAGGACAAAAATCATGGTTGCTACGTCAACACTATTTATTGGTATTTGATTGGTTATATCATCTTTCGTTATATCACATTGAAATGCTGTACACCTTTCATTATCATACTGAGAATTGTCCTAGAAATACAATACACAACTTTATCATTGAATACCATAAATTGATCAAGTCTTGGCATAAAAATTCAATGTATGTTTGGATGAAATTTGATGAAATGAAGTTAACGTCCTACTTTTCTGCACCAGGTGGGCTAATGATGAAGGGAAAGCAGAGCTACGGCCTACTCTTATATTGAATTCCAACTGCCAAGAGTTCTTTTATGTGGATATCAAAATGTACATAGGATCTTGGTTTTCGTGCCATCCGAATGATTAGATGCTGTCCTTGCAAGACCCCTCATCCTGCACCACTGACAAGGTAAAACCAAGCTGGAAAATCCTGGGGAACTTTCTTGACTAACACCCTGAAAGAACCCCAGACCTTCTGGTTATTGAACCAGAGCCTTACTCACTGAGCCACTGTGGCTCCTATAAAATTTGATACATTAAGTTGCTTTGTACATTTAAAAAAATACAATTATTTTGCTGTGATTTGTCTCAAAATCCTGGTAATAATAATTAGTCAGTCTGACCATCCTTATTAGTTAAGTAGTCCATGTCGTTTATATAAGTTTCGTCACTGAATTGACTGAATTCATTTTCTTGTACTTTACCTTAACAAAGTCAACTGCTCTATTGGAGAAATCACAGGCATAAAAATATAAACTGTCATCTTCTTGCAACAAAGGAAACATAAAATTACCCACACCACATCCTACTTCAAATATAACTAATTTACTCTCCTGAAAATACAACATATTGACAATCCAGTAAAAAAAAGTAGTTTTAAACTACCGATATGTCTATACATTTATACAAAGTCTACCTGTGTATATTTTTTGTATTTTTCTAAGTGGAACCTTACCTATTGTGCTCTCTAAAATTGATAATATTTTGATTCACATGAGAACATAGTCATTAAAACCACTGATTGTCTTTGTATTTTGCTGACAATAGCAAATTTTCACAGCTTCATCAACACTACAATTTATTTAAATTGATTCAATTATTCTCTGTGCTGATGTATTGTTTCAGTTCAACTTAATCCAACCATGAAAATAAGAAGAGATAATGTGGTTGTTGGAGGACTGACAATACTGAACAGACATACTATGTGGAGACATTAGGCCCCCCTACTATACAGTTTACTTCCTCATCAGGAATAGCATATGCTATGCAACATTTCTGCTTTTGATTTGTAGGATTTTAAAGGAGCTAAATCGGTAATAATTTGGACCTAGAAATTGACACAAATGGGTAGCAACGCATATAATTATGTAATATGAATGTACATAAACTGATTTACATTTAAAGATGGGTTCCCGCATACAAACTGGGTGATTTAATGGTATATATGGGCTAAAAACATATTCAAACTAATTAATTTGTCATAACTTTGCTTCAAATCCTTCTCACACATTGTCATTGCGAAGGAATGTCCTGCTATAAAAATATGATCAAACTAGGTCATGTTTACGTCAGGTGACTTACCTCTCTTGGAAGTCAGAGGAGAATTCATTGCATACATAAGACGATGTTGTCTTTAATTGCTTACTATTTATTACAAATATCGAATCCTAATTAAATTCTCGGATTATCCACTACCCGTGTCTTTTTCCGTCATTTTTATCTCAGAAAGTGTTGTATGTCTAACTCTTCATAAAGTTTATCAACTTCTACATCAAGCACTCAATGTTCGCGCAGAAATTCTTAATCGTCGGGCTGTTGATTAGGGGAACCCTTTGTCACAATCAAATATCATATTTTTTCTTTTACATCCGAATTTATAAATATTTATGTTCACATCCTATTTGTCTGAGTTTGATCCCCCAAACTCAATTTTAATTGTCTAAGCTGTATCCCCCAAACTCATCTTGATTGTCAACTGCATCTGAGGCATGCAGCATGTGCACAATATGGCTATATAAGCAGATGTGGATGGCACATCAGAGTCAGTCAGTCAGTCAGTCAGTCTTTTAGTAAGGTTCGTTCAGGCCGAATCGGATCGATTATGTAGGAGGGGGCCAATTTAACCTTTCTTCTTTGAATACATAACTGTAGTGAATATCGGACCATGTTTAATTAACTCAGAGGTACATTGGAACTGGGCCACGTTTGATTACGCCCAGTAGGTGAAACTTTTATGTGTGTAGATTATTGTTGGGCAACGTTTGATATGGATCGGCGTTGGGGCCAAGTTTAGCCGTAGCTGATATCGTGAACAGAACATTTGAGATGATCCCAGAATAGGATCCACAGGCCTATAATTATCTCAACTGTGTTGTGGAGAACTGTGCGGTGTTTAAATGTTTTACGAATAACTTAAATCAGAATAGGTATTGCAGGCCTATGTTTAATGTTTTCGTTGGACGAATAATGTTTTTGTGAATTGATGGTTTGATTCCCACCGGAAGTGACCTATGGACATACTGAACTCTGAAAATTGATTGTTTTACTGATCTGATATAAATATATAAAGTATTAAATTATACTATTAATGCCATTTCGTTTTCTTTATGATTTTGAAGACGCAGCTGGGGGGGTAGTTTGCACGAGTGGCAATTGGTCAGGTGCCAAATCGTGACACCCTTACATTTTTGTCCTGCATACGCTCCATGAGTGTTTTTCGGGGACCCAATATTTTTCTAGTCTTTCCATATACATGTATACCAAAATTACCATACTTTTATTGGAAATAACCACCCGATAAATACTTTTCTGGGAACCCATCTTTAATCGTTTCTGTTTTTACTGTAATTTCTGATCAGTTTATATGTTCGGCGAAATATATCAGAAGTCTCAATCGAATGGCAATCTCTAGCATCTGGTTATTCCCATCTACAACAAAATTATTTATTGCACATTCTCTCCAGATAATAATATGGCGTCACCATTTGACATGACTTGTGGAATATGTCTAACCTCATTCTTGGAGTCCCTTGTTACAAATGGTGCTGAAACGCATTATGGTACACGAATCGCGACAAATGGTAAAATGTTTATATTGGATATTAGAAGCCCATCTAAGATCAATGTTAATTTAAATTGACAAATAATTCGGGTTTTCAATGTCGAAGACTTTGGATGATAATATTAGTTAGAGACTTAGCTACCTTTAATATCAATACCACCCAGTGCATAGCCAGTAAGGGTTGTCTATAAAATGAAAGTCCAGAGCAAAGGGAAATAGATTTGTACCTTGTTTTTTTCATTCAAGAGTTCTTGAAATTCTCTGGTTGTCCAATGTCGATCTTTAAAAAACTTTGTTGTATTTCTTTTATAAAACAAATCCCAATTTTTCTGTGCTTCTTTTTCATATTTTTCTCTTTTAAACTCAGAAACTAAATTTTGGTCTTTTTCTATTTTTTCAATTTCGTCTGGACTTAAAATACGTGCTTTATGACCAATGTGTACACTCTCTTTGTCATTTTCAGCCATTTGCACAAGTTTATGAAGTTGATTAATTAGATTTGTTTAGTAATTAGTCGAGTACCGTACGTTTTACGTTTCTATGCCAAGTCGTACAACTTCTGCTTTTCACTGACAACAGATTCCTTCTTCGTATGACTTATGGATAGCAAGCACTCTCGTCAGTTCCGGGTATCTTATCAAATCTATTTTTCATTCATTATAAATAAATTATTTCTAACAAATTGTGAAATTTTGAAGCCATGTTGTCTTTTTATATTCTAAACGTACCTCTTTGTCTAGAGATTATCACTTAAGAGTGATCTCCCTTCCCACAAATTAAATGTCTGTTAAAAAATATAATGATCTGAGAATTAAAAGAAATTGCTTTAATATAAGGTGCATTATGTAAGATTTAGATAGGGAGCTGACAGTTCTTGCCATAATAGTTTAAAAATAGATAAATGGAGGAGGGTGTTGGGTGTCAACAAGGGTTGTTGTCGCATATTTTCACTTTTGTCAGTAATGAAGATATTTACAACACATTAAAATCTGATTATGATTATGAGTAATGCATTAAGTAATTATCAGAAATCATTGTTCTTCCCTATATACTAACGATAAGTATACAAAAACAGTTAATATCAAGGGCCATAACTCTGGAAGTAATTATCCGGAATCATTGAAAATAAATAGGATTCTTCTTTCATGACCTTAAACACTTTAAAGTCAATCAGGTATTAACTCTAGAGCATCAACAAAGTTTTTCAACTGTGGCAGTAATTATTGGAAATCGTTGAAAATAGGCTTCTTTGTCTCATGACCTTAAACACTGTGAATAAATTTAAAGTCATTCGGCTGATAATATTTGTAGATGCCAAGCTGGTGAAGACTAGTTTGATGATGTTCACTTCACTAAAATATTCACATAACACCACTATTTAGTCCCTTTTTTCAGCATATGTATCGTTACATAAGGGCTTGAAAACACATGACATGTCCAAGAAACACGATACTGCAACAATAACAACTATTTATTCACCGTCACATATTACACAAAAGGTTCACAGGTTGCAAATCACAATCTTAGATACATGCATAGATTATCAAATGTCCAACATAGCGAAATTGACTGCGTCTGCATCTGCATCTGCGGTAGAAAACAGTACGCTGTCACCAACTCACATCACTCAACATCTGCTACCTTACTAAGCAATTGACTCGATTTACTAGACACTATATACTATTCTACATGATGCTAATTAGACTCGATTAAACGCTCATTTAACCTAATATTCTGCATGTATGCACTGACACATTATATTGCCATATATAGATTTTGAACATTACAATATTGGTCCTGAGAACGTCCACAAGATTTTTGAAAGAGATCAGTTATTATCAGAAATTGTTGAAAGTCCATAGGCCTCAGCGTCTCATAACCTTAAACACTGAGTATAAATTTAAAGTCAATCAGAACTTAACTTTAACCTCTAGAGTGGCCACAAGATTTTTCAAAGTGATCAAGGGCCATAATTTAAAGTCAATCGGATATTAACTTGAGCCTGTAGATCATCACAAGCAAATGTCCATGGTCCAAACCTCCCCATTCCCCTCATTCAAAAGGTTTGGCCTAGGCCCACTTAAATAGAGCTTAATGTAAATTACTATAGATAACTAGCATTTAAAATAAAAAAAAATATGAAAACATAATTATACAAATAACAACAGTTTATTATATAATTTCTGTTATGAAATAAATGCTAAATATCATAAATACACATGGGAAAGAAGATGCTTGTTCTTGTATCCCAACTTAAGATACAGTACTGCAGTAATATTTACGAACAGTGATAATAAAAGATCGAAAACTGTTTGTTTTGTTTAATTTTTCTGTCAGTAACTCCAAACTTTCAATTTCAGGTTGGGCATTGGACACTAGAAAAGAAGAATACAAAACATGGATTAGATATCTTTTCTGTTTTATTCATGAACTGAAAAAGGATAATTTATATCTGAATGCCTTTCTATTTGTATCATTTATGTTTTAGTCCTATATCAGAATTAAAAGTATTTACCTTCATATTTTCCATTAAGAACTTTAACGTCAAAACTGAATGCAGCACTTGGATCTTTAGGATCAATATTAGTGAAAATAACTTGTAAACGTTGGTCTGAAAAAGTATATATGACAGTCTAAATGGTTTAATAAATTTATAATGAAATAAATACTGGTAATAACATTTTTGTCACACCCATAAAAAACATTCTCAGCCTATGCTGAGAAAAGTCAAAGCAATATATTAGAAACATCCAGATCAGAAAATGTTTATAATTATTAATGGGAGCAATGTTTATAATTATTAATGGGAGCAATGTTTCAATTCTCTTGCCACTAAGCCATTGTTGAAACATTGCTCCTATTAAATTCAGTAACTTTACAGCATAAAAGTTTTGTGTTTTTTTCAGTGTAATCAATTACTAAACTGCCACTAAAACAATATTATAATTTACCTGCAGTTTTCACAAACTTTAATCCAAGTCTTTCTTGGAATATTTCTTCCATATTCTGTAAATCCTTCAGGCAAACATTTGCTTGCTTTTCTGAAGTTTCTATTTCTGAGAAAAAAAAAGAATGATAAAAAAGTCAGATTATTGCTTCCCAGGCTTACATATGGCAGTCAAAGCTGTCAAAAACCTATAAATTAGTAAATTTATCTATAATTCTGAGTTTGCTTTGTATCCAGAACAACAATCTTTGAATTTTCTCTTTTAAAATTCAAAGCATTTTATTGAGGAATCTCAGTGAATAATTTTAATTTCAGAACATTCCATTTTCACTGTTTTGGGGAACGCTCAACGCTCTCTTTAAAAGGTTAGCTTACTTTCTTTCATTGCCTCTTTATCTGAAACAATATTATTAAGTGATTCCAAGGCTAGTTTATTTTCTTCCTCTTTTGATTCCATTTCTTGTAAAAGTTGATTTAACTCTTTTTCTAATTCCTCCAGCTGGAGTCTTTTGTCTGTGAAAAAATAAAAGGGGACGGTAAAAAAAAAACAAAAAAAAACAACATCTGAAATGATATTAATATTAAACGGCAAATACTTCAGTTGAGTTCATAGATATAATATGTTGCAAAATATCTATTTTGCTACTTTTTAAGTTTCTTTTTTTTAATCTACAAAATGAAATAAAATGAAATGGTGTTTAATGTCCTACTGTTCTTTCCTAAACTGGGCTAATGAAGACGGGCATACGCCATACAGTGTGCGATGAGGGAAATTTTGCTCGGGCAGCGGCACCATGGCCTACTCTTATATCAAATTCCAACTACCAAGGGATCTTTTACGTGTACGTCAATTGTACACGGGACCTAAGTTTTTCATCCTATCCGCACGACTAGACGGCTGTCCTTGTCGGGCCCTCTGTCCTACATCACTGACAATGGGAAATCACGCCAGAAAATCTGGATGAACTAATATAAGAAAACTGGAACATTTAAATGGTAGTCTGAGAATAATAGGACACTAGATGGCGCTACAGCACAAGTCTGCAATATCACTTAATTGTGGAATCGGACCATAACTTATTCTATACCTACACACAATCTCCAAATTTGACCTACAGTAAAGAGCTGCGTTTAATTAGCTGTTAACGTTATAAAAATTCATTGAAAATCAATATACTTGTTCGTCTCAAGACCTTAAACTCTGTGTATCAATCTATAGTCAATCTGATGATAACTTTAGCCTCTACAGCCATCACAAGATTTTTCAAAGTGATCAAGGGCCATAACTTTGGCAGTAATTATCGGAAACCATTGAAAATCAATAGGATTCTTTGTTGCATGACCTCAAACACTGCGTATAAGTTTAAAGTCAATCGGATAATAACTTTAGTCTCTAGAGTGTCCACAAGATTTTTTGAAGTGATCATGGGCCACAACTCTGGCAGTAATTATTTGATATTGCTGAAAATCAATAGGATTCTTTGTATCATGACCTTAAACACTGGTATAAATTTAAAGTCAATCGGATATTAACATTGGCCTCCAGAGCGTCCACAAGATATTTTGAAGTGATCAAGGGCCATAACTCTGACAGTAATTATTAAAAATTGCTGAAAATCAATAGGATTCTTCGTCTCATGCCCTTAAACACTGTGTATAAATTTAAAGTCAATCAGATATTAACTTTGGCCTCAAGAGCGTCTACAAGATTTTTTGAAGTGATCAAGGGCCATAACTCTGACAGTAATTATCAGAAATTGCTGAAAATCAATAGGCTTCTTCGTCTTATGACCTCAAACATTATGTATAAATTTAAAGTCAATTTGATATTAACTAGCCTCCAGAGCTTCCACAAGATTTTTTGAAGTGATCAAGGGACATAACTCTGGCAGTAATTATCGGAAATCGCTGAAAATCAATAGGGTTCATCGTCTCATTACTTTAAACACTGTGTATAATCGGATATGAACTTTAGCCTCTACAGAGTCAACAAGCACTTGTGGATGACGGACGGACGGAGACGACGACAATATACAACCACATTTCAGTGTGGGTGTATAAAAATGAAATTAAGAATATTGATATATAAGTAATTATCCGAAAATCATGCTAACTTTTAGTATACGAAACATTTAATATCATGGATTTATCTGTTCAAGTTATCAAAATTCATTGAAAACCAATATCCTTGTTCTCAAGACCTTAAACTCTGTTTATCAATCTTAAGTCAATTGGATGATAACTTTGGTCTCTAGAGCATTCATAAGATATTTCAAAAGTGATCAAGGGCCATAACTCTGGTAGTAATTAATCAATAGACTTCTTCGTGTTATGACCTTAAACACTGTGTATAAATTTAAAGTTAATCGGACATTAACTTTAGCCTCTAGAGCGTCCACAATTGCCTGTGGACGCTGGACTGACGGACGGGGGTGACGTCAATAGTCCGATTAACAACCAATAGCTAACTGCGTAACAATATCATTACGCTTTAAACAGAGCTCCAAATTGGACTATATATGTTTACATTACGTTACGTCATGACTCACGATTTTATTACGCCCAATTAACCAGTTCATAGCAGAATATTGCAGAAAAACTAATTGCGTGACAAAAAAGGCTATCAAAACGGATACAATATAAACAATACTGTTTGGAGACAAACAATACTTTCACCATTTTTAATACCTTAAATCACCGTCCAAAGCTTTAGGGAAGACCCCAGATTAAACGAAGGGCTGTCATGTTGCTGTACTTGGGTTAGATTTGATTGAACGGGAAGAATAGACACACTCCCTCAAAAGCTCAAGTATCTGAAGCCAATCCAGCAATGGCCAGGCCAATGCTTCAAGAATATGGTAAGTCAGTGACTTTCTAAAGATGTAATCTGATACTAGAGTGGCCATTATACATCAATGAAGTTATGGATAAATTATAGCCAGAAAAACACAATCTTACCTTGTTGATTTACTTTTTCCTCTTCTGTAAACTGCTCCAATCTCTTTCGTTCCCCTTAAAACAAGATAGTAAAGAGTAATGCATAGTCTATCACTTTTAATGTTCTTCCCCTTTAAAGAAGATTGGACAGAGTAATTGCATCATAGTCTATCTATCAATTAAAAATTGAATTGCACTTCACAAATCAAATGTAACATATAGGGATGATAATTAGCCTTTTATTCCATTATCTTGATTAGTTAAAAATTATCACATTCAAAATCGTTATTTTCATCAAATGAAGAATAAATAGGCAATAGTAGTAGGTATTTTGAGATTTTTGGTAAAGACAATTTCTTGGCACCGTTTTGACTATGTATGTATTATGACAGTTTTGGCCAATTCTCTGGGGCTGTTTTGACTATGTATTATGACTGTTTTGACCAAATTATGGCCGTTATTGTTTATGTCTGTTTAGACCACATCCCATAACAGTTCTACTTTGTTCTGTTTTAATACACACATGACAGAAGAAGAACAACAAATACTTGTGTTGTCCAGAGTAATTCTTCAATTCAGCATTTATCATTTCCCTTAATTTGTATAAACAAAAGAAAACCTATTTTATTTACCAGAAGCTTGGAGTAATTTATCTTCATGACGAATTATATTCTCTTCAAACAATTTTTTAACATCATAAGTCATTTTTGTTTCTTCTGTCATAAGTTTGGCAATATTTGCTTTCAGTTGTTCCATCTTTTCAAGTTTTTCTGTAATCTGAAAATAAATGAATTATTTTAAAGTTAATTTTATCAAAGTGTAAAAGCGGCCCCAAACCATAACAGCCACAATTTAAATTGCTAGTAATTTATTACAAAAACAATATATTTTACAGAACATAAACAAGAAATAGGTAAAAAATACCAACTGACTTTCATTTATTTGATAAATATAAGGTTGTTTCTATCAATTTATTTACATTTTGAATTTCTTTCAAACTTGACCTGACCCACCGGAAGACAATACTGCATTGACTGCATTTGCAAAATACCAATGATGTTCCAAAAATACTGTGGTTGTATTGAATGAAATAAAGAGTAGTTAATTTAGTTGTGCCCCAATCTACTGCCCATGCATCCACAGCATCACCCTAGATTTCAGTCAGTCATCAGTAAAAGTCACTAAAAGAGTTAAGAAACACTATCCGTGTGTGTGAGTGTGTAATTCTGAAGAACATTAAAACCAGATTGTAAATATTATAAAACTTGATGCATGTACAATAGTACAGGGTTCCCGCGGCTTCGTCAAAATTTTTTTCAAGGATATTCAAGGATAAATATACGTCAAATTCAAGGATTTTCAAGGACATTTTTTAGCCTAAAGTTACAATTTTTCATCTTAAAAATAACCAAAACATTACCAACTATCGTTATAATCTCATATTTAAAAGGAATTGAAGACATTTTAAACAAAATTAAGGATCTCAACTGAAATTCAAGGATATTTTCGTATTTCCGCGAAATTCAAGGATATTCAAGACCTTGAAAATGAAATTTTAAATTTAAGGATATTCAAGGATCTTCAAGGACCGCGGGAACCCTGTAGTACATGCTAGAAATGGTTCCACTTCTATTACTGATAACTTCCGTCTTTGAATCCTGCCACAGTAGTGGATGGTTCTAAGGCTATACAGTAATAATCCCCCCCCCCCCCAGTATAAATCCCACTGGTAATACCCCCCACCTCCTTTTGGAAAGTACTAAGTAGGTAAAAATCTCCTCTAATATATTTTTTTTTTAAATTCAAAAAGAACTTGACCAAGATATATTCTTTTTAAATTTTTTATTTTAAAATTCAAAATACCACAAAGCAATTGAAAATGAAATGGACAATTAATTGCTGTTTGTGTGTGCTTTGGTTTTTCATGAAAATATGATGAACTTTGCATATTTGACAAGTGAAATGACAATTACTTGATGTGCACAGTTTCTATGCTTACTATTTTGAAATTATGAACATTTCTGTACAACTTTCTCTGTAAATATTATATGGCTTCTTTGTGATAAAATTATTCTTATCAAGAATTGCGATAAAACATCATTTTGATGTTAATATTTTGTGTTCACAGTTTGGGAGAAAAAAAATTGATCTTGGTCAAATTCTTTGAAAAAAATATAAAAAAATATCCTGGTATTATTAGGAGGGATTTTTACCTACTTTTCAAAAGAAGGTATTTTTACTGGGGGGATTATTACCGGATTATTACCTATATTCAGTTCTAAAGACTTCCTTTGAGCTGGCATGTAAATTCCTTAATTTCCAATTAATGCAGCCTAAAAGGGTTATGGAAATAACGGCCTTAAAACAAAACATTTGGTCGTAATCATTATGGTCAAACATTTTTGTCACAACGACCAAACATTTTCATCTGAAAGGCCAAAAAATAAGGCCATAAAAAAACAGTCTATGTAATATTTGCTATTCATTATCAATACAATGCTATTATTTACATAAATTTAATGATAGCTTGGGTGAAATGATCGGACCTCGCTAAACTTTAACATTTATTTAGAATTTCTCTCTCTCCTGACTCTATCTACAACTTTGGATTCGTACACCTTTCCATTACTATCATAAAAGGTGGCAAATTTTGGGGTAAAAATCTATCTAGATATGGTGAAAATTATTTCAGATTTATTTCTACAGGCCTAGTACATTATTATTAACATGATGATGACGTAATTTGTAAATATTTAATTTATACTATTGAATAAAAAGTGTAACTGTGAGAAAAATAGATATATTATAATTGGCTAGTAGTTTGATATGATGTGCAAAATGTCTGCAGGAATCAAACGATAATATACATGTAGATGGCAAAACATTTTTTTTTTAAAACGATGTTAATCATTAACTTAATGTACTTGTTTCACATTTGTGAAGGAGTCTACTTTTACTTTTACTTCCACCCCTGGGAGTGGATTCTACCTTTCAGTTAAGTTATTACAATTTTCGATAAGTAATTTACATATGTGCTGGTAATAACTTAACCTTGGCATCCATTGTGTGGTTTCACATCACTTTCAAACAGCGGCAAAATGGTATTTGTCCCTGGTAAATAATTTATTTTGTTTACAAACTCAAACTTTCCGCCAATTTCTTTGACTCGAGTCAAAAAGGAAGTGGCTGTTAACCAATCAAATTTCACAAGAGAAAACATTTGATAACGCAGAAATTGATGACGTGTACACACGTGCTTATGTTTACGCCATTTTTGCAAGTGAAAGATTCGTCATTGAGTGAAATATTTTGCGTTTACTTTAGCCAATCTCAAGAACAAAGTCCAATCCAGGGCTTTAGCAATACATCACTGAAACATGGAAGAAAGAGAAGTATTAACGACCCTTAAAATTTTAATTATAGGGGAGAGTGGCGTTGGGAAATCCAGGTTAATTGAATTCTTTTACAGCGTTTTTGTTTATTTATGTCAACGAACCAGTCAGTTTAGTGCAGTCAGCTGTTAATTTTGTTGCGTTGAACTGCGTCTTATGTATCCAAAATGACAATGTAGTGGCTTATTTGTACTGTGTTACTGTACGCATATTTGGAGTATTTAACTTGAATTAAATTTATTATATTATGTAAAACAAAAGTGTCATTTGGACAATCGCCATGTCCAGCGCTTTCTTCTTTCTTAGCGTCTTAGTACTCTGCTGAGCTTAGATTAAACTGGGTTTTTTTGAGTAGTCTAATTCAATCCAATATTTCATCAGATTGTCTAAGTATTTCCGAGATTATATCTTTACAACAGGTTTAGAAACAGTTCTATAAACTTACGGTTTAGTCCAAAATAGATGACTCTTTCTGTAGCCCATTCTAAATTCAGTAATTGTTTTATGTCTGTTAACTGTTATGTTAGTGTCAGCACTGAATGTCAGGTAGACTACGGTGAAGTCCATTGTCAGTTTTTCATAACTTCTGTGTTCTTGGAAATTTTTACACAGTTTCCATTCTGAAACACCTTACAGTACATCTAGCCCTAGGCTATATAACTAGAAATGGTTTCACTACTAATGTCTCCCGTCTTGCTCCAGCCACTGTAGTTTAATCGTTCTAAAAATTTTCTTTGATGACAAAAAAATTACTGGCCTATAACTCCCTTAATTTCCAATTAAACTGACCCCAAACTGTACTGCCCATTACCACAAAGAAAAACAATTGAATAGTTCGGTAACTTTTTTAGTGTTCCAGTCTTTACTATTTGTGATAGAATTAATTATTTCAATACAAACTGAGATGATATGGTTCAAAAAAAGATGATACAAAATGAATATATTGAAAATTTCATTTAAATTACTTTTTTTATGAGCCAAGTTATCACTGTTTGTAGTTTTGACAAGATGTGTGCATTGATTATTGTAACCATGATACTGGTATATTCAAGACTTAGAATCACTCCTCATTTTAAAATGAAAGCACTAAGTGACTGAACTGTTCTAGTCTAGTTAAAATCTTGAGTATCCGATGGCATCAAGAGTTGATTATGGTCCTCACCTGTTAAAAAATGTCTAATTAATAGTTTATAAAACATTTAAGGCCTAAAGAAAGGCATGCAATAGACAAATTTAGCTCTTGCGTAATGCCTGTTTAACATTACAAGACCATAATCAACTCTTTTAAATAGATTAGAACAGTTAATTTAAAACTGAAGAAGTGAGGCTAAGCTTCAAACAAACAGTACGGTGGTTACAATCAGGCTCAGAATACTGTAATTTGAATGAAATTTTTAATATATTCATTTTGCATTAATAACAGTAATGATATAGTCCATTTATAATGTGCTGTTCCCATGCTTCTTTAATATCTTAAAATGCAATCTCTTAAGAATACCTGAAATTATCTAAAATTGAAATAGTAAAATGAGTAAAGTTATAAAGAGGAAATATTTTTCTCTTTTCAGTTTGTTATTACGGTTCACAGATGACACATTTGACCCAGAGCAAGCTGCTACTATAGGTACCTAATAATAGATATAGATAGTTGCTGACAGTATAAATAGATTTTCTTCCTAGAAGGTTATTTTAACACCTATATGTATACATATAAATGTATGTGTAAGATATACATTTAATAGAAAGGTCACAGGCATTGACCTGTTTGATAAGGCTATTTATAGCACTGACTTGCAAACCACAAAATGTGATACATCAGTAAACTGGTAGGGGTATATCATACTATTATGAAAAATATTATCTTTTTTAAATATGATTATTTATACATGTACGTTACATTACTGTTGTACATCAGTATGCTGGTATATCATAAAATTATGAAAAACATTGTTTTTTTTAAATATGATTATGTTACATTACTATTGTACATACATGTAGGTATGCTGCTGATATATCTTAGAATTATCAAACACAAATCTTATTTATCCAGAGTTCTCAAAAAATAAAATAATGATAGCAAAATAGTGTCTAATTTATTTAATCATGGACCCAAGATAGTAATAAAGGCTTATTTGTAGTGTTAGGCAAGTATACTTAACCTTAACTAGCATAATAAGCTTACCAGGTGGTAAGGCTTGTAACTGCATGCACACTCTTGCCCTGGCTAAATATTAAATGTCAAGAGTTTAGTATCAAGATTAGCAGAAGATTGAAAAGAATACATACATTATATATTTTTTTTTTAAATTAATAATCAATCATGGAGCCTTGAAATTGCACAATTATAATCCCTAAAGTAAGAATGGTGCATTTATGACCCAATTAGTTGAAGTGACAGCAATTTATAAAGTGTTAGCAACTTGTAAGAATACAAACTGTCACTTTCATACCAAACAGAATCTAGCAATTAATCTCACATTATAGGATGTGTTTTATTTAAACTGCATTATTAATGTTTCTTTGATTCAGGTGTTGACTTCAAAGTAAAAACATTAGCTGTAGATGGTAATAAAGCCAAGCTAGCTATCTGGGTGAGTTCAAGAGTCATAAACTTTAATCTGTTAACCTTTTAACATAATTGTTTTACATAAGAACATCTGACTACAGTAATGTTAAAATTCTCGTATAAAGACTCTTAAATCTCATACTCATAGGTGTGTGAAAGTTCATTGTTAATTTTGATTATAAAGATAGCCATTTTGTCTTCATAGGATACAGCTGGCCAAGAAAGATTTCGAACTTTAACCCCAAGTTATTATAGAGGAGCTCAAGGCGTTATATTAGGTGAATAATTCAATTTTTTTTGTAATCATACTTTGATAGTTTGCTTAAATTATTTCTTAAAAGGTAAAGGTAATACTATTCAAGACTAAACATCAAATTTCAATGTATAATAACAATTTTTCTTAATGCATGGGGAGTTCTAGTGGTCCTATTTGTTTCATTGCATATCTTTATTATGTTTTCAATGTGATCTATGGTTCATCGCCATTACTGTGTGTTGCACTGAATATCACCAATCTGTGTTTCAACTCGCTGCATTTAATTAAAATATTGATTAACTATATGTTCATGTATTATTATTTCAGTATATGATGTTTGTAGTAAACAATCTTTTAATAAACTTGATGCCTGGTTAAACGAACTAGAAACATTCTCAACAAAACATGACATGGTTAAAATGTTGGTTGGTAACAAAATAGATAAGGTGTGTAGATTTACATTACAATTTGTGCCAAGTGCACTAAAATAATAATATTTAAAACTTTGTGAAACCACATCACACAGTTCATACATCTTCTGCAGTAGACATTAAATAAGTTCTTTTCTTTCTTTGACTCCTCTTGTTAGGTGGAGTTAAGTTAAACCGCACGGCCATTCTAGTTTATTTATGTCAATGACGTATCAAGTCTGCTTGAATCAATATTCTAACAGTGACATTAACTGAACCAAGCCTCATTTTTAAAAGAATAACATCAGTATTAAAGGCAAGCATGACCGTAACACAGAACTTATCAGCAATAACTCACAATATGTTGTACTGCCACAATAGATTACATATGTATGTTAATGTGTAGTATTGAGAATCATGTGATATACACAATAACTCTGCTTAGTGCTTGATTCATAATTTTTAGCCATGATATACAAGACTGCAAATATTTTTATTGTATGATTGACTGCCTAAGTAATGACTGTCAGTCATTCACAGAAATGAAAACAGTCTTTCTATCTACATACATGTTGTCTTATACACTGTGATTTGAAACAACTACATGTAGTGAGAATGATTAAAGATTTTCCTTTGATCTTTTCACATGCTTCACGAGCATACAGAGCATACATATTATTTCTGCTGAAATTTAGTCTGAACTACTCTGAACGTCATCAGCGATTGATGATGAATTGTCTTCATCATGTCTAGAGCATGAAATATTTATTAGCATTTCATGGATTTGAATATATTTGATTATATTATCCAGGAAAAAAGAGAAGTTAGTAAGGATGAAGGATTAAAGTTTGCTAGAAAACATCATATGTTATTTATAGAAGCTAGTGCTAAAACAAAAGAAGGAGTGCAATGTGCCTTTGAAGAATTAGTAGAAAAGGTAAGCTTACATTTTCATAACAAATTTATGATTTAACGCCTCCATATATCTGGACCACTGTTCACATGACAACAATTTTAACAATTGTAAAACTATAATAATAATATTTTGAATAACAATTTGTTTTCAAGATTTCAAATCCCTTAAAATAGGGACATAATCAAATCATTTGTTGCAAAGTGATCAGCATGAGCTACAATCTCTTCAAACATGGCACTTATATATTCACCACACTATATTAACCATATGATACAGTATGTGTAAAATATTATTATTGTAATATAAGGCGTTTTTATCGACCACTGATTAGCCAAAGTGATTTGCATTCAATCAAATTTGCATCTTTAACGTCCATCTAATTCAAATTGGTTACCCTAATCAACGGATTTATCGACACCGATTTCTGAAGCGATTACATCAAATCGCCAAATCACTTCAACAATTGTTAAGAATAAGATTGTAGTTATTTAAAGAGTGATCCCTATTTTGACCCACCCTGCCCATTATATTAATAAGAAAGATTAACTCCCATGCTTTGAGAAAACAATTCAAGTTCAGCTATTATGTCAACATTAACTTTTACCAGGTGGCTTTGGAAATCAAATCAGGTTTAATATTGTATTGTTGTGCACCGACGGGGCAATTGTAAACTGAGGTACTCTTGATTTTCAATTTATCCGTCACTGATTACAAACTTTTGACAAATATACATTTTGAATACTTCCAATGACCAAACTAAGCTTCCTCAGTTTGGCAGATGTATTTGACTCTTTCAGGAAATTTTTCTGAGCCATCAATTTCCCACCTGGAAATATTGAAAAATACTCAGTTTGGCAAATGAAACGAAGCTAACTGAACATTTAAGGACACAAGCTTTACGAGAGAAAAAAATGTTTTCATCCTTTTTTTCTGTTATAGATTATCCAAACACCAGGATTATGGGAAACAGACAAACAAGGTATGACATTGGGAAGTAATTCAGGGACCAATCAAAGTAGTTGTTACTGTGTTGTGTAAGGTTATATAATCAACCAATAGCAGGAATTGTGTCTGCTGAATATAAGTAACTATAGAAATATAAACTACCACCCTCTAGTCTTTCATGTTTGACTGTTTAAAACTAAAACCCACACAAAGAAAGAAAATGGAAATAGAAACTATCATGACAAGGCGATTATAATTTTGAGTAAGTGAAAAGTGGCAATCAACATAGCCAAGATAAAAATGATTTCAGGAAAATATACTGTGTATGAGGAAATTTATTAATATGGTGATTAAAATATTCTGTACATTTTGACTCCCAAAGCATTTATTTTGTGGACCTTTTTAATCTCTTGTAAAATTATAAAGGAGTTGAACCTATTTAAGTTAAAATAAAGTATGGAATTGAGTTGATCTGATATGTACAATTAAAGTAAATTAAGTGTTTACTAATTTTAGTTCCGTTTTCTCATCAACTGTCAAGATTGGCTTTATCAATGAACCTAAAATTTTATGAGCTTTTGTATGTGGATATCAACCCATGCTGTAACAAATGAATGCATGAACACTTTTACTGCTTACCCAAAGCAAAGAAGTTTAGCAATTTTGAGTATTTTCACTATGAAGTATTTTGTATACTGAATTCCAAAATGTTTTTGTATTACTGATATTTGAGTAATATTTTCAGTTGCTCTTTATGTCCTAATGCTTAGTGAATGCTTCCTTGCAATTGCTTATTTATTAAATGAAATTTATTAAACTTGTCACTTACTTAGAAGTCAGTTTTTGAGCATGTAAAGGGTGTGAATTCAAATAAAAGTTTTCCTCCAAAAAAAACTATTATCATTTTGTATACTGTATAAATATAAAATGCATGTTTAATATAAGCTTTTTTGTTGTTTTTTTTTAATTAAAATAACATAATTTTAGATCTTTGTATAGTTTAAAAAAAAGTGTTAAAACTTGATATTTATTCGAAGTGTTTTTGTAACCATTTGTGTTTTAAATCAAAATCATTTTGAATGATTTAATTGTAATTGAAGAAAGAATTTTTATGTAGATTCCTGGTTTAGTGAAATTTGTGTTTATACATGTAATAGTCATTACCCAATGAAATTATAATTTTGGTTAATTTTATTCTTACCGCAGAGTAGAGCTCAAATGATATTTCAATAGAAAAATGATAGCTTGATATTGATATTGATATTAGTGTGACATATTATAGTTCTTATATATTCAAATGATTACAGTCCAGTTATCTGAATATTGACCAAAACAGCAATTATTAATATATTAAAAAGATCTTTGATTCCAAATAGGGTGAAGTATTATAGCCAAAAACTGTATCGCACTATATTTTGCAATATTTCTATTGCTGTATTGTAATATCTCAATACATTTCAAAATTGTGTAATATTTTGCATTCTACTAAAAATATTCTGAATTTTAGTACTGCAAATAATGTTGATAATTTAATTATTGGCCTGATTGTTATAAATTAACCAACAACAATCTGTCATAATTATGTTGAAAGATCTCTGTCATCTGTGCAGACATTGCTTGCAAACAGATGAATAAAGTTATCATTCATTAAACTATCCACTTTTTTTAAATGGAATTGCAATGTAATGTTTTTGTTACAGCCCTACTCCCAAATGAATTGTGACATTATAATCTGAATCTACAGTTCAAGCATGGTTAGAAATTGGCACTATCATATATTTTGTAAATAATTTGTAAATAGTTTTTATTAAGCATGGTCATGGTTGTTAATGTATATTTTTTAAAACTTGTTTATTAGATAAGTTAAAATTACTTTTATTTTGTTATAGATCTTATTTATTGTCAATTACAGGCTTAATGTATACCAAACTCTAATTTGTTTTCTCAAATATTTTATTTGTGTGAAATGGTTTCAAATAGAGATATTTTAGTAACTATGTATTTCTTTATTTAAACCAATTTTCATGTGCTTGTTTTAGCATCGTTTTCACCAGTTAAATGGAAACAGTTCCATTATTTTTGCATTAGACTAACGTTTTGGCCGGCAGAAACACCACAAAATTGCATACGTGGAAAACAGGCCTTAGAGATGATGAATTATGGAACTGGACTCACAACCAGGAAATAGTTCACTTAAAATATAGACATTTGGAAAAAAAGATTTAGTTTCCTACCCAAATATCTCTGAAATGAAATATCTATTGGAGGCTTATTATAATTAAAATGCATCTTTTTGTCTCTTCCATATGTTTTGTCAGTAGTTATGGGTTTCTGCTGTGTATGCATGCAATACAAAAGGGCAATAATTGTGGACAATATAAAATTCCCTTAAAATGAAATGTAAAAGACTGCTGCAGTGAAGCATGTGGAACTATCAGATTTACACCATTTAATCATTGAGAGGCATGTAGCAATTGACTTCTAATGTATGGAATAGTTGATATGGATACAATCAAAGTGTGTATTACACTGCTACATTTCAAGCTAAATCATAATGTACAAAAAGTATTCTAGTTTTATATTAACATCCCAGCAGGACACAGTTCTAACCACAAAATAAAAATGATATGATTACAGAGCTCTGAGGACAAGGATAGTGATCTTTTAAAGGTGAAAGAAAGTTTCTATATGTAAAATTATAAATGTGCACATTATGATAAAGAAATATATTAATGGTCAATGGTTTATGAATGGGTATTGATAATTCACTTCCTAGATTTTAAATAAAAAAAGAGATACTAATTTGCATGATTTTGTACAGCCATATCTATTCTTCAATTAGAGGGCATCATGCTGCTTGATAAATCTATGACTGGTGTATATCCAGAGCAATATAAACTCTCTCTGCCCTAATACTGACATGCATCATGCCTGAAGTAGGGTATATTTACTTTCACTAAATACCACCAAGTCATTTGTAGTTGCTATTTTGAAAATGATACAAACTTTGTTTTATTTACAGCTGCTATATTACTGTATATAATATAATTATGAATATGTATAATTTATCTAGCTGCTTTATATCTTGTATATTGTTCAATATAAGATTATATCTCTATCTATTTTTTAATTATTTTTTCTGATGGTGTAATTAGCAACTTGGCATCACCTTGAAATTACAGGGTAATATCTAACATTTTTAAAATTTGAGTATTAAAGCTGTATGGAGAACCTCCCTTGTTTTTGTCACAGCTACAATCCTAAAATCCTAATATATAGGGATTGTATTTTCCTCTCATGGAATGGTATGTATATAAATTTGTTAGATAGAATCTTGTAATCCATGGTTATTGGCTGTATTATGATTGTATAAAAGGATAATTCTATTAAAAATAACCTACTTTTTTATTTATCTGTTAGTGGGTATTTATAAGTGTTCGGCCGAGATCCCACGTATTCGAATACCGAACTCATGCATTCGAATAATCGATCATTGAACTCATGTATCGCTGAACTCATGTACTTGGATATTCTAATACTAGTCTGATATTTGCATTTTCTGCATAGATTAAATTTGATCTATCTCTGCTAGTTTCTAATGGGAATAACTATTTTAGCAGTAGCAGTTCTTCATTAGGATATATAGCTGCTCTGAAATTGCATTAGAATTACAGATATATGGTTTGAGCAGTTGGTTCACAGACCTTGCAAATGTTCACATGTTTTGGTCTGGTTTAAAACCTGCCAGCCAGTCATCAGCACTGGCATCATCACCTAAACTTGAAATTGAATACATGTATATAACCCAAAGATCTTGGTTCCTTTCGATATTCTCGCATATCGGATCATGGCTTCCTGAATTATGGCCCATGATTGTACGAAAAATCGTGGTCCCTCTAGAGGTCACAATCTTTATCCGATTTAAAAAAAATGTTTCAATATATCACCGTTACAATCTAATGATGGTTTAGTTCGAATTTCGTGAAAATCAAACCAAAACTGCCGAACAAAATGACTACCGTCGTACGCAAATAGTGTAAATATATGGTATATCAAGGTTGCGGACCCCCTAGAAGTCACAATTTTGATCCGATTTTGATAAAAACTTGAAATATATCTTTATAACCCAAAGATCTTGGTTCCTGTCGATATTTGCGCATATAGGATTGTAACTTCCCGAATTATGGCTCTTGATTGTACTACAGGTCATAATTTTTATCACATTTTAAATATTGGATATTAGGATCACACATTTTCAAGGCAACATAACATCAATATGGATAGAAATAGGCCAATATTGAATTCTAATTTGTGTTTTTAATTTCAAATATTGTAGAAATAATGAGTTAGAGACTTTGCTCCTTTAAGGGCGTTAAATGAAATTATCTGATGTTACTGGAGCAGATATGACGCAATACAAAGCCAACGACCAACGTACCCCTGACCCCCCCCCCCCCCACCACACACACACACACACACACACTCGCTAGCTACGAGCCTGCCATCTCTTGCAAAATGTGGTGGACGTAACTTGCATGGCATGGGGTGGAATGAATGTTTTGTCTTTATAAAATGACATAGTTTCAGAAAGGTAATAAAATGCAGACTAGACCTGCGATGCGGTTATATTGGGTTTCACTGGCGCCCATTAACCATTAACTTGCGACACCAATGGAAATTGTCAACAGAAATATCAGTTAAAAATCTGTGCATTTAGAACAATGAAAGTTTTACAGAGAGGTGAGAAAAGGTATTCAGTGAAAGAAACCGGACTTCTTGTACCAAAGATATTTCTAAATTATCATTTCAATTGCATCTTGATTGTGTTTTATTATATTTGGAAAACGATCCAATTTATTTGCAGGACTATACAGAAATGTGTTCTCCTTGCAAATCAAAAGATAAGAAAAGAATAGCCACGTAGACAACGGCTTATACCATAGGAAAACTTGAATATTTTCAGTTCAAGAAATCGAATCTCTATCGTGTTCACAAACTTTTTCCGGCAACGTAATATTGCGATGAATGTGATGAGTATGTCAAAAAGATAACTCCAAAAATGTGAGCTGGCAAAATATACCTGTAAAAACTGATCGGCCGGATTCCCTATATTATCACTATAACGGAAAACCCCGCAACGCTAAAAATCAGCGGGATCTCCTATTCCAGTAGTTCACACCAAAATTAAAAATCAATAGGGTTCATCCTCCGTCTGAAAAAAAAACACCAACCAATAGGGTTCATTCTGTTATGACACCTGCGCTTCTCATCAATCTGAAAACAAAATATGTTAAAACCGTAGCATCTAGTATTATTATTATTACAGCATATTTATAGTGCACTTTACAAAGTGACAATGTAAATCACACATAAACAACAAGATTATGGGCATGTTAACGATTGTATACAGAGTCAGTTAAAAGCCTGATTAAATAAATGTGTTTTAAATTGTTTTTTTAAAAGAATATAGAGTTGTACAACATCTTAAACTAAATGGTAGATTATTCCATAAAACAGGTGCTTGATAACTAAAAGAGCGCTGACCATAAGAGACTAGTTGAACAGTTTTGGGCTTTAAAGTAGTTTATCTGATCTACGTAATGTTCGGCCAGGTGTATAAAGTTCTAAAAGATCTTAGAGGTAAACAGGAGCTAAATTATTGTCCCCCGCCTTTCGAAGAAAGCAGGGGACTATTAAAATGGGTTCGTCCGTCTGTCTGTCCGTCCGTCCGTCCGTCTGTCTGTCCGTCACACTTTTTGGGACACAATAACTCTCTTCCTAATTGAGCTAGAATGTTCAAACTTGGTGTATGTGTTTATTAGGTCAATGCCTTGATGGAGTTCGAAGATGAGCATTTTCCGCTTAGGGTAAGCAGAGATAAGCAATTTGATTGGTTGATGCTTTGGGACACGATAACTCTCTTCCTAATTGGGCTAGAATGTTCAAACTTGGTGTATGTGTTGATAAGGTCAATGCCTTGATGGAGTTCGAAGATGAGCATTTTCCGCTTAGGGTAAGCAGAGATAAGCAATTTGATTGGTTGATGCTTTGGGACACGATAACTTTTAATTGAGCTAGAATGTTCAAACTTGGTGTATGTGTTTATTAGGTCAATGCCTTGATGGAGTTCGAAGATGAGCATTTTCCGCTTAGGGTAAGCAGAGATAAGCAATTTGATTGGTTGATACTTTGGGGCACGATAACTCTCTTCCTAATTGAGCTAGAATGTTCAAACTTGGTGTATGTGTTGATTAGGTCAATGCCTTGATGGAGTTCGAAGATGAGCATTTTCCGCTTAGGGTAAGCAGAGATAAGCAATTTGATTGGTTGATGCTTTGGGACACGATAACTTTAGTTCTAATTAAGTGAGATTGATGAAACTTGGTGTATAGTTTCATTACAGTAATACCTTGACTAAGTTTGATAATGAGCATTTTCTGCTCAGGGTAAGCAGCAATTTGATTGGTTGATACTTTGGGGCACGATAACTCTCTTCCTAATTGAGCTAGAATGTTCAAACTTGGTGTATGTGTTGATTAGGTCAATGCCTTGATGGAGTTCGAAGATGAGCATTTTCCGCTTAGGGTAAGCGGAGATAAGCAATTTGATTGGTTGATGCTTTGGGACACGATAACTTTAGTTCTAATTAAGTGAGATTGATGAAACTTGGTGTATAGTTTCATTACAGTAATACCTTGACTAAGTTTGATAATGAGCATTTTCTGCTCAGGGTAAGCAGAGCGATACGCAATTTGATTGGTCGAGACTTTGGAAAACAATAACTCTCCTACTTTGATTGTTAGACTATAAGTAAAGATATACTGTTTGATTGTTCAATACTTTGTAAAAGATAATTTGTGATAAATTTATATGTGTCCTCTAATTATTTTCCTATTTCGGCGGGGGACATCAGCCTCACTGTTGGCTTGTTTAAACATTTAAAAGTAAGTTATAAAATCTTAAAATCTATTGGAAAATGTATTAAAACTACCGAGAAATATATATAAATATATATACTATTCAAAAAAAAGTAGGGGATATTTGATTTTGGGGGCATAATACTAAAATATGCAAATGACTACGAAAAAAGTGACTATAGAACCTAACAGAAGAAACATTTCCAGTGACATGTGACGCCCAAACGCACCAATAGCTACCGCATGGAATGCAGGTGATGCTTGGGATCATCATGGGGGTCCAACCCAAGATTTGCACGACTCTGACTTTGAATGTTACAGTCATTGTGGCATTTAATTCCAGGGTGGAAACATCAGTTTAATTGTTTTAGTGACCAGAAAACAAATTTTGATATGCGTTGGCTTACCCAAAATGAAAGGTTACGTGCCCTTGGCATGCTACAGATCGGCACAACACAGGCGGTTGTGGCGCGGACGATGAATGTTTCTCAGTCTGTCATAAGCAGGCTATGGTCCAGATACCGTGATACACAATCTGTACAGGACAGACCACGCTCAGGTCGACCAAGGGCGACAACTCAAGCCCAGGATCGATTTATCCGTACCTTGGCCTTGAGAAATCGTGTCATCACAGCAAATCAGATCAGCGCTCGTCTTCAAACAGACACTGGTGTGAGAGTGAGTGGCCAGACGATTCGGAATCGACTGCATAGGGGTCACCTTCGCGCCCGACGTCCTCGCGTGATCCCTTGTTTGAGAGATCATCACATTCAGGCAAGACGTCGTTGGTGTAGGGATCGTCAACACTGGGATAATCGACGCTGGAGCAATGTGATGTTTTCAGATGAGTCAAGGTTCACTGTTGATTTTTTGGACAGACGTAGGAGGGTGTGGCGTCGTCGAAACGAGCGCTTCCAAGACGTTAACGTCATCAGACATGATCGATTTGGGGGTGGTTCTGTTATGGTGTGGGGAGGCATCACTGTTGCTGGAAGAACGGCTTTACATGTTGTTGCAGGGTGTGTTACAGGCCAGTACTACCGGGACAACATCTTGGCAGTCCATGTTGTGCCGTTCGCACGACGTCATGGCCGCCGTTTCATCTTCCAGGATGACAACGCAAGATGTCACAGGGCCAGGATCGTTACAGGTTACCTCCAACAACAGAACATCATCACATTACCTTGGCCAGCACTGATTCCCGACCTCTCCCCCATCGAGCATGTCTGGGACATGCTTGGACAGAGGTTACGTCAACGTCAACAACGTCCTGCCAATGTCCAAGAAGTTGCTGCTGCGTTGCAACTGGAATGGGACAATCTGGACCAAAATGACCTTAGACGTCTCATTAGGAGTATGCCACGTCGGATCAATGCTTGTTTGGCAAATAGAGGAGGATTTACCCGTTACTGACTTGGTTGTGATGCTGTGGTAACTTTGCTGTTTGACCCCGGGTATCATTTTACCCTTATAATGGTCAGTCTGTGCCTTACTTAGTCTAACGATCATTTGGAATAAATCGATGAATGTGAACTTCATTTCATTTTGTCATTTGTTTCTTCGTCAGTTTCATTAGGTGACTTTAATAACACTTAAAAATCAAATATCCCCTACTTTTTTTGAATAGTATATGTTGCTACAAATAAATGGGATTTATTTTTGGCGAGTGTGAACGGCCAACGTATAAATTCAACTCTAAACATGTCAATTTCTTTTTTGTTTTATTTATTTATTGTGAGCTTCAGATTCTAATTTCATTTTTATGGCACATCAGGTTGCACTAGATGCCCCAAATTAACAATGAGGAAACACGTCTTGAAATTTGCTTCAAAATAAAATCCAAGCGATTCTACGAAAGCCCAGAAGGCTCATTCCAAATTTCAAATTCCAAATGCGAAATTCCAAATTCCAAATGCGAAATTTCAAATTCCAAATTCATGTCTTACCAATCAAAATAATTCAAATAGCAAATTGGCAGCCCCCCCCCCCTCAATAAAACAAATTAGAATTTAAATAAATTGTAATTTTACACAACTACTTAGTGCTAGTTTACCTATCTGGTGCCTGGGCCGGATAAACACCCGTTCGAAATTATTAGATTTGAAATTGCAAATTCCAAATGCGAAATTGCAAATTCGACATAATCACGTGATATTACAATCATCTTGGCTGGTGCAGAGAAGATAATACGCCCACAGCAGCTAAATCGCCCGGACAGTCAACAAGAGTTGTCGCATATTTTTACTTTTTGCGGTAATGAAAGATCTATAATACACTAAAATCTGATTAAGAGTAACAACTCATTAAGTAATCATCAAAAAATCATTAGAATTTGTTTGATTTTTATAAAGTTCTGCCCCATGCTAACGTTTAGTATACGAAACATTTAATATCATGGATTTAGCTGTTCAAGTTATCAAAATTCAATGAAAATCAATATACTTGTTAGTCTCAAGACCTTAAACTCTGTGTATCAATCTGAAGTCAAGCGGATGATAAATTTAGCCTCTAGAGCGTCACAAGACTTTTCAAAGTGATCAATTGCCATAACTTCGGCACTAGGCCTAATAATCGGAAATCGGTGAAAATCAATAGCCTCTTCTTCATTTCATGATCTTAAACACTGTGTATAAATGTGAAGTCAATCGAATATTCACTTTAGCTTCTAGAGCGTCCACAAGAATTTTTGAAGTGATCAAGGGCCATAATTCTGGCAGTAATTATCGGAAACCTCTGAAAATCAATAGACTTCTTCGTCTCGTGACCTTAAACACTGTGTATCAATTTAAAGTCAATCAGATATTAACTTTAGACTCTAGAGCGTCCACAAGATTTTTTGAAGTGATCAAGGGCCATAACTCTGACAGTAATCATTGGAAATCGCTGAAAATTGATAGGCTTCTTCGTCTCATGGCCTGAAACTCAGTCAATCGGATATTAACTTCAGCCTCTAGAGCGTCCACATTATACGATCGCATTTGGAATTTGGAATTTGGAATTTGGAATTTCACATTTGAAATTTGGAATTTCGCATTTGGAATTTGGAATTTCGCATTTGGAATTTGGAATTTCGCATTTGAAATTTGGAATTTCGCATTTGAAATTTGGAATTTCGCATTTGGAATTTGGAATGAGTCTTCTGGGCTTTCGTAGGCCCAGGCATCAGATAGGTAAACTAGCACTAATTAGTTGTGTAAAATTACAATTTATTTAAATTCTAATTTGTTTAATTGAGGGGGGGGGGCTGCCAATTTGCTATTCTATTAGTAAGACATGAATTTGGAATTTGGAATTTAAATTCTAATTTGTTTAATTGAGGGGGTGGGGGCTGCCAATTTGCTATTCTGTTGGTAAGACATGAATTGGGAATTTCGCATTTGGAATTTGGAATGAGCCTTCTGGGCTTTCGTACGATTCATCAGTGTCACTGTCAGTGTTCGATAAAATTGGTCTAGATAATACCGTATTATTTATGGGCTGGATGAAATATTCTACTTTGGACATTTAGTCACTGGTTACGCATGTCTACAAACATTATCACGTGATACACACTTCCCATAATTCTCCATTACTACGTGACGTCACTACCCAGTGCTCTTTCGTGTAGTGAGTCGCCGACATTTCCACCTTGAAATAATGTCAATCGTTCGTCCCGTAGCGTTTCGTCTTTTACAGACAAACAAGGTAAACTAAACTAGACTTAACTTATTAATTAATAACTGACCGAACTATTAATTTCCGGGGGTCACTTTCAGTGAAGTCATCCACGCGTGTCGTGTGACCATAGTTCATGGCCTGATCGCAGAAAAACTGGTCAACTCAAACCATTAATTATTTAGATAATATGATTAATAACGATATTTTCTGTCTATGCCATGTTCAAATTATCTAGTCTTCACCGGCATTTATGCTTTATAATTCGCTGTTTCCAGATCAAATAGTCAATGTCGTTGAATTAATCAAAGAAGCACTTTATAAAAGTATAGGCCTAGATACCATACATGTCGAGCCAAAGTTCAATAAGTAGACCGGTGTGGCAGTTTCAAATGGTTCCTGGTGTGTGATTACCGTTTGGCGCATGCGCAGTTGTAGGAGTCAACTCACACCGTTACAGTCGCGGTGTGCATTGACTCCTCGTGATAGGATTTCCCCTAAGATTTTCTTACGGTCAAATCAGATTATTATGTACCGATATTTACAGTATTACCACCACAAGAGGATGCAAATTGACGATCTTTATTATTATTATTTAGTATATATACCCGTCCACAATGTGAACATTCTCTCTTGTATTTGGGCAGTCTACATGCATGTTTGAATGTATGGGATGGTATAATAAATCTATATTTATGTTAAAGAAATCGGAATAAGAAATTCCATACTTTTATATTTGTGATAAGTGAAGCCACGAAATATCAAAGACCTTAATCTTCCTTTGGAGGTGAATTAATTGATAATTTCAAGCCAATCATCAATTTGTATGGTTTTCACTGATCGTACGTGTGTAGAACGACTAATCACTAAAAAAAAACAACGGCAACAAATCACGAACGATAGAAGTATCAATTTCAAGCCAATCAACTTAGATCCGTTGATCGTGTAACTACTCATCACTAAAACAACAGCTAATCACGATAACAAGTATGTTTATTGATGACAAAACTCTAATCAAGTACATGATATACTTTTTCTTGGACTGTCTGACCAGGAACCAACTCGCACTGCAGGAAGTAGATATAGTTTCGTTGTTACGGCAAACATTAGTTTCGGACATGCTCAAGTGCCCAGGAGAAAACACACACCAGGAGTCAACTCAAACTATCAAACCGGCAAGGGATCAAGGGTAACAAAAATGATGTTCTTCAAGACAAGCCTGAACGGGGATGACTTTTAAAATTGTATGAATTTGAAAGTAGTACGTGTATGAAACCAGTGTGATTTATGAATATTATATACCACATTTGATATACATGAACAGCTTGCCTATCTATGCAGCTGAAACATAGTTATTCACAATCACACCACGGTTCATTAAATGAATAAACCATTAATTAAATTAATGCCATGTATTTGCTCTTGATTGAATAATCATTATTTATACTTAACTACATTATTGTATGAACATGACCTATTATGTACATTAGGAATTAATACTAGACAATAAGTCAAATATGGCACATGCATTCAATCCACAGAGTTCATTTAATAAATTTATATCCCTTTTTCTACAGTCCATTAGGCAGTTCGATTTTCAACTGCTGTTATAGATATACTATAAAAAGTCAGTTAAACCTTATTTTGATTCCTTAACTAAATATGATGAGGGAGATTAAGGTCATAGAAATCACTTCACAGTCTTGTCCAATAACTAAACTTAATTACCCTTACATGTAATTGTCTATCTTAATGCCCTGCGCAATGGAAAATGGTTTCATAGATTTCCAAATGGTGAATCTTTACAAAAAGGGTGAATGGCATTTGTAAATATTTCAAATGTTGAATGCCAATGGTAAGGTTCCCCATGTTAATTTTGCTCTTAGATTGAAGTTTGTCATGCTAAACCAGTCTATTATTCATTGACTGGTGGATGGGTCTGGATTATCAAGACTATTTTTTACAAAACATTATAAACAGCTACAATAAAAATTGAAATTCAGAATCCGGTAAGCACAGCACGTGAAACTAATATTTTTTCAATAATCTTTTTTTCCAGACTTGCTTGAGTGCTTCATTCAGTGGAATTCGTCATGCCTCAACCACAACAGTAAGTAGCCTAAATCTTCAGACTTACGTAATGTGCAATAATAATCTTATAAGATTACAGACGTAGAAAATATAACAATAGGCTTTCTATACAATAATAATCTTATAAAATTACTTAATGTGGCAAAACCTAAATTGTCCTAGAATACGATACAAAATGATTTAGTCAAAAATGAGTACATGGCTGGTCAATGTAGACTACGCTAAAGCAATTGAATTGAAACATTTATAAAATGGAATATTTAGTCCCTGTAGGCCTACAATTTAGACATTATCTAGGTTATCAGTCGGTAATTTTACATTATGTATTTTGATTAAACAATAGAACTGAAGGTTTTATTTTGTTTTACATAGAATTTAAAGGATTTCCTAGCAGATGAAATCCCACGAAAACAGAAAGAAGTCATTGAGTTTAGAAAGGAATATGGTAATACCAAGGTCGGAGAGATCACAGTTGACATGGTTTGTATTCACATTACTTATACTATTTATGCTCCATTGAACCTCAATGTGGACATGGAGTATTCAGTATGAACTTTGGACCTTATTTATTAGTTAGGTCTAGATAAGTTTTAGTAAACTTCTTTGAAGGGATTTAGCAAACACTTGTTCTTGTTTTCATTCTTACTCACTAAAACTGTGAGTGAATATTCAATAGATTTTTTTTTTTTTTTTAAATATTCCTTAAACAATGTTTTTCAAGTACATACATGTATATCTCAGGAACCACTCAGGAAATATTTATGGGACTTCGTACACATATTGTATTGCTCTAATGTACTTTTTGCTACTTAGAAATATCTGAGTTGTACAATGGAAACACACGACATGGTGCTGTTTTGGTATACAATTTATTTTACTGAAGTATATACATGTATCTCATAAACTTGTAAGATCAACATAACACATCAGCATATACTGCTGGAGGGCGTGTATTCATTGCCTGGCAAGGCTATGTTTGAATTTTTTAGCTAATAGGATTTAAAGTTATTGGACCTTGCCCTAGGCAGTGTAATGGTGGTTTTGCTCAAATGAACTGAAGTGTTACGCTCCAGAACTGCTTTAGCTGAAGTATTGTTGCCTGCACACACAATGTATATTGCTAGCTTTTTTTTCACTTTGCTACATCTCAAGAGATCTCAATATACTTAATTGTACACAGTAATATGTGGATTGAAATATATGGTATATATTTATTTGTTCATAAAAACATTTTTAGGAAATCTTCTGATGCAGCTTATGTTAGTTTTATCAAAGCCTGGTTTTAGATTCTTCTTTCATCTACAACATATCTGTGCCATGTATGGTAGTTAAACCTCGACCAATAAATTGGTCGTTTGATCAAGGTCAATGATAATGGTCACTTCACTGTGAAAACAATAAACAGAGATTCATTTTCTATTTGTAAAATATTATATTTAATTTCATCACTATATTTATCTGTAGATGTATGGTGGCATGAGAGGTATCAAAGGTTTAGTAACAGAAACATCAGTTTTAGATCCAGAAGAAGGTATCCGTTTCCGTGGCTATAGTATACCAGAATGCCAAAAACTTTTACCAACAGCAGGTGGTAAAGGAGAAGAACTACTTCCTGAAGGTTTATTCTGGCTTCTTGTTACCGGTGAAGTTCCATCCCAAGCTCAAGCTGATGCCATATCACATGTAAGACTTATTCTCACATTTAAACTGTATTTTTGTGAGGATGGCAGAGATAATAACAGCAAGTTGTGATTCGGTTTGCCTGCTTAAGCAGGGTTTAACGACCACTCGGCACAAACTAGGTCATTTCGTTCAAATTTATTTCAATAATTTGCTTGCACATATGGATTTTCAGCAGTGCAAGAAAACGGAAGGAACTGAAGGAAACCCATGATGAGGTTGGACCAACAGTTTTAAATTTACTCCTTGTCATGTGCCAGACTCACTGACAGACCTTTTGATTTAAGGCGCGTGCGTTAAACCAGTTAATGACTGATTTTGAGTAATTCTACTATGATCTTTGATGAAAAACAACTCTCTTCATTTTCAAAATATGAAGTTATGCATAGATCATTAAATTGGTCTTTGTCTTCATTTCCATCATGTATGTTTCACATTTTTGTTTGGGATTATTTTTGACAGGAATGGAATAAGAGGGCATCAGTTCCTAATCATGTCATCAATATGTTAAATGATTTCCCCAGCAACCTACATCCTATGTCTCAATTTAGTGCAGCCATTACAGCCTTAAATTCAGAAAGTAAATTCGCTAAAGCTTATGCAGAAGGAGTTCACAAATCAAAATATTGGGAGGTAAATATATTTTTAACTCACTTTATTGGGGGTTTTATCATAACATGAAAGTGAATAGGTATTAAAATTTCCGAGAACCACTCAACACTGCTCGTGTTGAATAACTTATAAACTGCAATATTGTGAAAGGGCAATCTCTAATAGGAATATCAGTCTAATAATGGTTGTATTCTGTCAGTGTTGAGTAGATTCTTTTGATGAGTCTTTTTAATCCGATTCAATCTAAGCTAGAAAATCATCTACTGTTTGGGTTTGTATTCTTATTTAGATAATCAGTATGAACACATTTTAATGTGGCGTAAGCTGCGAAAAATTAGATATTTCAAAAGCGATCAACAGCTTTTACGAAACTGAAGATAAAATGAGAAATTGGATGTTACTACCTCTATAAGACAAGTTACATGATGTTCTGCGCCAGTTAATTTTTGTCACTTTGATTATTATGGGGAATTTTTGTTTGTAGTATGTATATGAAGACTCGATGGATCTGATTGCTAAACTTCCAACATTAGCAGCTATTATTTATCGTAATTTATATCGAGATGGCTCAACACCTTGTGCTATTGATCCTAAAAAAGACTGGAGTCAAAATTTCGCCTACATGTTGGGTTATGAAGATCCTGATTTTTCAGAGTTAATGAGAATGTACCTTACCATCCACAGGTATGTTGGCTGCTGAAATCTTTTATTTCATTTTGTTGGGTAGAACGCTTTCTACCACAGATGGGGCAACGTCTTGCCCAAAAGCATGTATACGGTTCTTCATGGAAAAACTTGAGATACACAATCCGGAAGTAGAGACAAAGTAAACATGCAATTTTCAGCCCTACATTTCAACCTAACCAACCTCTCAACTCTTGTATCCTTCCACCCCAAAATCATGAATATTCACTAAAACCTGACAAAAAATGTATTTTCAAACCCTTTTCTTCAATTCTACACCAAAAAGTCAACAAAAATCGCTTATCAAAATGGAGGAAAAAGGGAAAGTGAGAGAAAGACTAAAATTAAGTTTCACCCTACAATCATGGGTGACAGGGTAGGAATATTTGGTGAACTGTGTCCTATATGCCGATTCTGGTTCATGGCTATACCTGTGCTACACTGGGTCAACCACTAGTTTTCAAATATAAGAGTTATTTCCCTTCAAATATTTTTAAACTGCACTTCTGCTACATGTACTATTTTATATTTCAGTGATCATGAAGGAGGTAATGTGAGTGCTCATACAACACATTTAGTAGGCAGTGCATTATCTGATCCCTATTTAAGTTTTTCAGCTGGTATTAATGGTCTAGCTGGTCCACTTCATGGTCTTGCTAATCAGGTAAGATAAATATCTGTGTTTGTTATTTTTGAAAGATAAGACGGTAGTTTGATTTAAGGCTTGTGCACACTAATGATAATTCATTAATGATTTTCCATAACCAGCTAATAATCACTGGTCTGCTATGATTATACAGGCTGACAGATTGTCCAGTTTTCATCAGTTATATATTGGCTGACAATTCCGCAGTGACAAATTTTTAGGCTGATAAAATTTGTCAAAATTTCATACTTTCATAAGGGAACATTTGATTTGGGCCACTGTTTTTGTTTTTATAAGCCAGTCATTCTGTAATTTGGATTGGTCAGCAGATAATTTGCAGAAGTACATTGTGGAGGTGATATTGCGCAGCAAACATGTTAAGTAGCAGAATTGTATGAAAGTTAATAATTTGTTTTATTTTATATTGTTAGGAAGTTTTACTTTGGTTAACTAAATTACAAAAAGAACTAGGAGGAGAAGTAACAGATCAACAGTTACATGATTTTATCTGGAATACATTAAAATCGGGACAGGTAGGTTTAACTATAATAGTTAACAACTAAATAATGTAAAGGGAATTTGCTGAAAATTTCAGACAAATTGATCCACTCTGAATCGAGAATTTAGCAATTGAATTTTCAGGCTAGCCTCGATCACCGTTACTGAAGTCGACACAATAAAAGACATAGTCTCAATTATCCATTTCATGATTTAATCATGAACAAAATTTGAGCAGAAATTCGGATCCTAATCCAGTATCGCAGGCTAGCGATGACATCGAGAGTCGATTATGGCCTGGATAAGTTAACATTTCAGGCCTAAAGAAATACCTGCAATAGGCAGATTTAGCTCTTGCATAATGTATGTTTCAAAATTCAGTTGGCATTGTGAATAAATTTCTACATTGGTAACCTACCGGTATTTTAATATTTAATTGTGAGGTCAAGATTGTGTGGGAGACAAAAAGTAGGAAAGCTCTGATTCCAAGGAGAGTGCGTAGCAATAGATATTTTAACACTCTAATTCATCAGTAGACCTGATAATATGTTTAGAATTTCCAAAGAAGCATAGCTTACACATTTAGTCGTTAAAAGTTAGAAATTCTGAAAATACAGCTTTGTAGAAATGTTGTTTTGTGTATTAGATTATGTAAAAATTGTACCATGTTCAGAAGTAATTGTTTAAAAATTAATTTATTTCAGGTTGTACCAGGTTATGGCCATGCTGTCTTGCGTAAAACAGATCCTCGTTACACATGCCAGAGAGAGTTTGCATTAAAGCATCTACCTAATGATCCATTATTTAAATTAGTATCTCAAATCTATAAAATAGTTCCAGATATCTTATTAGAACAGGGTAAAGCAAAGAACCCCTGGCCTAATGTAGATGCTCATAGCGGTGTTTTATTACAGGTTGGTTCTTCATATCTTATATTTAACTTGGTTCCAAATTTCAAGGGGTGGGGGGGGGGGAATGGCCGAATGGTTAGCATGTGTGCACTGTATCATAAGGCCTGTCATTGAGTCAACTGGCGTGGTTTCGATACCCCAGCTCTACGTGACAAGGAGTAGGGTCGAGTGGACGTTTAACCCCATTTCTCTCTCTCTCTCCAAATTGTAAGGTTTCAAAAACCTAAAATTGAGAGATAGGTCGACTTTTGTTGTAATTTGGTTTAGTGTCATTTAAAAACATAAATTGAAACTGTAAAATTATACTTTTATTGCACAAATTGATATTAGATTGGTAATAGTAAAATTTTCTTGATGAACAAGACTACTAATGTTCGTATTTACAAGACCGAATAGCATCAGAATGTCTTTATTGTAGGGGGGGGGGGGATATATCATTCCTGTCACAATGGCTTACTGAGTATTCTATTCTAGAAAAGTGTCTGTGGCCAAAGCCTCATTAGCTTAGAAATTTTTCAGATACATTTGATAATATATTGCTGCTGACTTAGGGTGTGTTTGAAGGGAATCCTCGTCAAATCAGAATTTGTTTTGGTTAGATACGAAAATTTTCTTGGTAGAATGCTTTAAATCTCGGATTTGTTCATTGGGATATTGAAGAGAATCCTATTGATGTTCAAAAATTTTGGATTGTAAATTTCAAATGCCTTTTGCAGTGTTTTCTTTCTGTTGAATTTTGGGAGAGATTTCATAGTGCTTGATGTGGCCTGTTGACAAGGATTGCAAGGGTGTATTAGGTGACCAGAACAGCCTCAGTCTATGTTAAGTGCATATGCTTGTAGGCTACTATTGATCCTCTTTTTTTTCTTTTTCAGTATTTCAATTTAAGAGAAATGAATTACTATACTGTGTTATTTGGTGTATCAAGAGCTTTAGGATGTATGGCATCTCTTATTTGGGATAGAGCACTAGGGTTACCAATAGAACGACCAAAATCATTCGATACCCCTGGACTAAAAAAACTTGTAGCTAAGTAAACCAATAATGAGGTATAACTGATGGCTTATCAAGGAGAATTTAGGAAATTGTTAATATATTTGAATAAATTTTTAAAATTTCTCTTTTTTTTTGTCTATATCTCAAAAGATTTAAGTAGCTCTAATTTTTTTGAGAAATGGCTCCAGGGATATTGACTGTTAGTCTTTTGATATATATATATTTATAAAAAGTAAACCACATCAATGACTATGTAGAATTTGTAGATATTTGACATCAGTGGAAAAATTAAATATAATGAATTGGTAGACAATAATTGCTTGTCAAATAGAAAAAGACCGGTACATGCCATAATAAATAGAATTGCATTTATCATTATACATATATTATGCTTGAAAGTAGGAACAAATAAAATTTAATATGGCAGTAAAACTAGCTAGAAAGATATTATTTTAATAGTTTACATATTTATTATTATGACTAGATTTATATTGTTTATAATTCTGTGTTTTTTGTTAAGAATTGAAATATTTGTTATTTAAAACCTAGAATGTAAAGAAATTATACCTATATACAATGATCCCGTTGTGATTGGAGTTGGATCTGCAAGGAATAAAGGATGAATAATCTGTTATTTATATCTATATGAAAAATATATATAGGACTGAACAATAGTGGAGTATTATCTTTACACAAATTACAGTTTGAGCAAAACACTGTTATTCATAAACATTTATATCTATATGTGCAAAAAATTTTTTTTATTCTAGTCACATTTAAAGACAGACAACCACCCAAAATTAAATAAAAGAGTAAGCTAGACCAATTTATTAGGAAATAATCATAATTAATACATGTACTAGTAGTTATTTGATCCAGTATAACTTTCACCCAAATCTTGATCATCCATTATGAAGAGTTATATATCATTGTAGATATTGATCCATCTGGTGTGTTAGATTTATCATATTAATAGTATTTTATTAAACCATCAACCTAGACTGCATTCAACAATGGCAGATTTTGTTTTGTTTGTGAGTCTTAAGTCTTAAAATTTCAATCCAAAAAGTTGAGTTTTTGGAAATCTCATGACTTTTCTGTACCAACCTTATTGATGAATACAGGTAAGGTAATTCCCTTAAGGGTGGATTGTGTGAATCTGACATGAAGTTTATAGTTGTTTCATATGGGACCCCAACAACTGGGTTAGACAACCTGAAATTTGTAGAAGAGTAGGCAGAAATGACGAAGCTACCCAGACAAAACTCTTGTCGCATTGTACATGTAACCATTTAAAAGACTGTTAGCATGTTAGTCCCAAAATAACAGGAGACGTTAATCTCCATCCCGGTCTATTGGAAATACTATGGTATAATACTGTACTAATATGATCGGCATTTGTCTCATTTTCAATAGACTGGACCAGACGCGAAATCGGAAAGCTCCCCTCCCCCCCTTTAAATTCAGGGTTTGCAGGGCCAAATTTCCATGTTTAGGGACCTCAACCCAATTAGGATCCTTCTGGCACATTCGGTTCTCTCGGAATGTCATTGCAACTCTTCAAAATGCGGTTTTGAAAATCCTATATTCTATATTCCTAATTGAAAGTAAGGAGCAGCACACTCGAAATTCATCAGATTTTTTTTTTTTTAACTTGACATCTCTAATGGAATACTTATTGGCATGGCCTGCCTATTCAAGCCGGTGAAAAGAAACCGCTTTGGCAACGACGAAAAAAGTCCACAGGCCCACTTTCTGTCGTTTACAAAATAAACCGAAACCTTCGGCAAAAGACGCAGTGTACCTATGGTATGTTAGAAATATAAAATAGGAGGGAAACTTATAAATTAAAACAAAATATCATTTCTAAGCTACGCAAGGATTTAAAATGGAGTACATATTACTGTTGAGTGTTCAATTAAATAACTCTTTATTGACCATAATGGACCCAACATATCCAAAAACCGCGCTAGGACAACAAAATTCGGAATTATAGTTTTCGCAGAGGGATACGAAAATGAACTGTGCAAAATCAGGTCAAGGGTGAGTGAAGTTTACACTCCTCATATCGGGGTAAAAGCAACGATCCATATTAGATACCAGGCGAGAGTATGAAATAAAATAAACGATCATAATATAATTCACCCAACCAACCATGAATGCTTCCACGTGTCTATTACTAATCGAAAATATCCTAATTATGATTAATGATTACTTTAATGACTTAAACATTAGAGGACCACCGATGAATAAGCAAATTTACAAATCGGTTATTATGTTACTAGGAACAAAAGTTACAAAAAAAGCTTTTCCGTTATTTGTTTTAAGTGATAGACAAACATTAAGTATCTTCTTTTATGTGGCTCTCTTTATGTTAAGTATTAATATCGCAAACAAATAGTAATCAATTAATCGTGGTTATACAAATGACATAGATAATAAATTCGATCTCTAGTTTCCAGTTAGTGCAAATGGATATGTATTGTGTAGGATTTACAGTATTCGCAATTTTTTGTAACGGTAATAGAAAAATTCAATGCCGTATTTAATATAACTACATACTGTAACAATGACACGAACCAAACCCCAGGCTAAAATAATTAGTCGGGAAAAGCTAGTCGTTGAATTTCAGTGGAAAATAATAGATTATTAAATGGTGTTTTATCTATACTTAGAGATTTTACAAACACTTACGGCCAATTTACCTACCTTGGTTCTTATACGCCCACATTGAAATGTGGTCGTATATTTTCGCGTCCGTCGGTCCGGCGTCCATTATTGCTTGTCGACGCTATTTAGGTTAGTTAATATCTAACTGACTTAATCTCATACAGAGTGTTTAAGGTCATGAGAGGAAGAATTCTATTGATGTTCAACGATTACCGCTAATTACTGCCAGAGTTATGACCCTTGATCATTTTAAAAAAATCTTGTGGACGCTCTGGAGGCTAAGGTTAATATCCGAATGACTTCTAAATTTATGCACACTGTTTAAGGTCATGGGATGGAAAGGGCTATTGATTTTCAACGATTTCCGATAATTACTTGAAAACAATTAGAATCTTCAGTCATTTAATTATTACTTTTTAAAATGTAGGCAAAGCAAGTGTGGACTTGCATGTAGAACCACTTCCGAGGTAATTCAGCTCTGAACGCAAGTCTCGTTATGCTCGACCTCCAGGTTCAGGAACGGACCTATTGACTCCTTGTGGAAACTTTTGGACTCGCAGTAAATTTTACTGGGTATGTTCGTCAGTCCTTGTGAACGCCTGTGCAATGTTAAGGAACACCTTAGTGAGAAGATGAGATCTTGCTTGCCTCGCTCAAGTCAATTCGCCGTTGCAGTCTACATATAGGCCAACGCACAAATTTAAAGGAGCTTAATCGCTAATATTGACATAAATGGGCCATAACGTATATAATAATGTAATATGAATGTATATAAACTGGTTTATATTCAATCGTTTCCGTTTTCACTCTAATTTCAAATCAGTTGTGTTCGGCGAAATACGCGAGAAGTCTCAATCGAATGGCAATCTCTAGCGTCTGGTTATTCCAATCTACATAGGTAGTATTTATTGCGCATGCTCTTCATATGCTTAATATCACCTGGGTGGAAGCGGACGTTAAATAAAGCTATTTTGCACACATATGCTTAACCTCGTTCTTCGAGTCCCTTTTTACAAATGACACTGAAACGCATTCTGGTACACGATTCCTGTACCATTGTTAAAATGTTTATTTTGTCTTAAATATTGGATATCAGACGCCCATCTTTTCCGGTATTATCACAACATAAACGTTGATTTAAATTGACAAATAATTCATGTTTTCAATGTTGAAGACCGTGGATGATATTGAGTTAATGACTTAGCTGCATTAAAGGACAATATTGGTGTAAGTCATTATCACATATGTGACAGAACTAATTAAACACGCTCCAAATATAATTTTAACACAGAGATCATTGCTACGATAGCTGAGTAATACAGGTTTCCTGAATCGGAAGTGACGAACGCCAAAGGAAAACACGAGTCATAACTGACTGATGTGACGAGTGATAACAAATACACGGCCGAATTTCTGCTCACTAATAATTCCTAGCAAAACCAAAAGTTGTTATATGGGACTGTAAGAGGATACCTGACAATTCAATAAAGTAATCGAATGTCATTAGATAAGAGAACACGAAAGAAAAACAGAAAAAGTCCGTGCATTACCATTACATGTTTTTATAAGGTATATAATGAATATAAACAAGGGAATGTACGGACTAATTCTATTTTTCTCGTGTTCTCTTATCTAATGATCTCTGTGTTAAAATTATATTTGAAATGTGTTTAACCAGTTCTATCACATATGTGCTATGACTGGCACCAATATTGTCCTTTAAGAACGCCGGCGATCTTATCAGAGTAGAAAACTTGGTTTATAATTAGATAAATTGTATGGATTCATTTTCTAATCTTTACTGCTACATAAATCGACATTAGCAATTTTTTCAGTTATTTTTTCAAACAAATTTTTAAAATAATTTGTAGCACTTTGATAAAATTTCTCAACACCGTCAGATTAAGAATATTTCAGTACTTACTCAAAGTTGTAATCGGAGATTTTAGTTTTATGATTTCTACATATTATTTTTCCAAATAACCATTTTCTTTACTTAATACCAACTTATTATATATTTTTATGAATAAATTTACTTTAAAATATGAGACGCCAATACTAAATTTAACAAAAAATCTAAATTACAAGTATCATTTTCTGTTTAGATTATGAATATATTTAAAGTATCCCTAATGATACCAGATAATGAAATTAAACATGTTTAGGATTAAATACAGGGCATTTGAACTTAAAATTTAACCAAATATATAGTATAAACTATAGTAAAATATGATTCGTTACACAGCGTTAAAATGAAGTTCTGGAGTTGAGAATTGTGACGGTGTTGAATTTAAATTAGCTAAATCGCTAATATTTGGAACCTACAAATTGACACAAATGAGTCATGTACCAATAATAAAATGTTTATTTTGTCTTAAATATTGGATACCAGAAGCCCATCTTTTCCCGGTAAGATTACAGCATTAATGTTGATTTAAATTGACAAATAATTCGTGTTTTTAATGTCAAAGACTTTGGATGATATTGAGTTAGAGACATAGCACGGTAAATCTGCTTAACAATGAAGATAAAATGTGGTTTTCAGATGACTAGTTAGAGACCATTATATATCATTCTCAACACCATAACAAACTTCTCGCCAGCTCAATGTTGAGAAATACCGTAAAAAAATAGATCTTATTGGTAGTGTATTACTCCGCTTTCAGCTTTCAAGTCTCACCTTTTCATTAAAAATTGTTGAAAACGTCAAATGTTTTTTTTTCTGATAAGGGCGTTGGGGTGTTGAGGATGAATTAAAATACGCAGTAAAATCAATACTTCTTTTTACGCTTATCTAAAAATTGAAAAGCTGTTGATGATTAAAGATACTTTCCCGCGTACACAGTGTGTGATATATTTGGACTAAAAAAATATTTAAACTAATTAATCTATCAAAAATTTGCTTCAAATACCTCTCAAACCTTTGTATACGCGGGAGATCCCTCAAGCTGTAAATGAACTGATGTTAGAGGCCATGTCTGTCATCTCGCTTCTTTGAGTGAGGGTCCATTTTTCAGAATGTATTTTTTCTTACTCACTGTCCATTTACCATACATGTTTAGGCCTAAGTAAATTCTTAATTATAAGTATTGTCTGTCAACTTCTTTTTCTGCCTTCAATTGCAGAGTCTTTTTGTACGTTGACACCCGTCAATGCTCCCTCTCTGATTAAAACACGGATCCTATTTCGTTTCGTTTTTTTTTATAGTTCAAAACTTCGTTTATTTGTACTTACTACACTAGGATCGGGAAGAGTTGTTATAAATATTTAACCTCCTTTCTGGTTGATGTGAGGGATTAGCCAATGAAACAATCTGTTACTGCGAGTTCTTGGCGTGCGTCGCA